CTGGGATCTAGGCCCACTAGCTGATTGCCCGACTCCGCTCATGCCCAAAGCAATCCACACAGGATACCAGGATTTCTCCTTTTGTATCCAAGACATTCTGAGGTGGTGTTTCAGTCAGTGGAAACAGAAACAGTCTTAAATAAAGTGTAACCAAAAATATAGCTCTGAAGTGAAGGCACGTGGATTCCTGATCCTGCGGGCTCTAAATGAAACCTAAACACAGCTCCAGCCTCCATAATAACATAGGAGAAAAGTAATTCCTGACCTGTTGGATGTCAAATGAGCAGAGTTTGTGGCTGCTCAATATCCAGGAATGAAGTCAAAAACCAAAGGAAAAAGTTAGGAGAGACTTACTGGAAACAAGGAAAAGAAAAGTAGCTCCTGGGGTTTTAGGAAGGATCCCACATGGTGTGACCACTGAAACCCTTTGTCAAGGGTAATTAATATACACGCAAATCAAAACATGGGCACAATGTGGGTCAAACTACAGTCAGCCTATAGGATTTCAAGGATAGCCATTTAGCTAGTGTTGATCCAATAGGGAAATGAGGCACATAGCAAGGATATATGCAAAGAACAAAGGCATTTTGCGGGAAGGATAGGTCCAGATGCTCTGGCCACCTACCTGGGCAGCTGAGGCCTATCTGGACTTACTGGACAGGCAGAGCCAATTATTGTATAACCGCAAGTTGCTGTTTATCTCGTAGGGAGGCCTGTAAGCCTGGCCTTTATGTCTCCCCATGAGGCCTTGCTCGCTTTAGATGCACCACCAGCCACAGTTCTAATGTCTTTATTTTCTTGTGCTGGCGTCCTTGAGGGCCCAATCCTTCTCTGATGGTACATTAATTTCTATCTAACCTAGATGCCCATAGTAATAAGGCTTCCTCCTACATGGGATCCTGGTCTTCAGATTTCTCAGAGATTCTGTCTCTCTTACCTAGTTGAAGTGTCCTTACGGTATTCGGTGTTCTTCTTCAAGTTAACTGATGTCTCTTCCTTGGAGTAAAATAAATGCATTAAAACAGCTCATATTTTACAACTAAGAAAGTGAAAGCCAAGATACACACAGAGACTTCATGAAAGTCAGAGGTCTCGTCAAACATGCACTCCTTAGCCAGACCTTTTGGCCCACCGTGACAGTTAACTGTGGTGTCAACAGAAATAGTGAAAGCCTAGCTGACTGGTTCTGCATGGTGCTAGCTATGTCTGGATGATGGATTTCCTGAAAAGGAAAGACCCCTTCCTATTTTTGGTGGCACCAACCAATAGGGTTGCAGCCTGGATGGAATAAAAAGGGAAAGAAGAAAGTCTTGCTTCTGCTTCTTCTGAGAGCTCCAGTCTTCACCTTCACTTTGGATGTTCCTCGCCAGGCTTCCAGCGTGGGCTCTGCAGCTTCCCAGGACAGACCCTTTAGCTTCATGTTACAGATTCACATGGGACTCTGCAGTGAGCTCCAGGCCTTCCGCTTTTGATTGGATCCTTTGGCTTTCCAGCACACAGACAGCCCTTCTGCATTCTCCCACACCAGGGACCACTGTAAGCTCACCTTGTAATTCCTATGTACCGGGAACCTTTCTGTGCTACCTCAGTCCCTTCCTGTCCCCTTCTTTTTTCCTTCTGCTTTTTCTTTCCCTTTTCTTCCCCTTTCCCTTTTATGGCCCTGTTGCCCTAGTAACCTGGGTCTTGTCCCATTATCTCAGACCTTGATGAGATGTGCCTGCTAGTATAGAAGGAAAGCCCTGGACTGTCTTGGTCCCTTGTTTCCCATTTCTTTCTTGTACACCCATTTAATGCTCAGCATGAGGCACTCTCCCAGGAAAGTTCTGGGCATGTGTTATAATATTGCTTAATGGATACTTTCATTTAGCTTCCCAAGTATTTATAACTCACCTCCCCAGGGGATAGTGACTGCATCTAGTATCTGATTTGTCTTGGAGGGAAAAATACCTCTATTGCTCTGCACAGTATCTACCTACAATAAGTAATCAGTAAATATGTACCTTGAAAAATTATCTATATTGCTTACTATGATATGACCCTGCCCCATTAGTTAATCATTAAATACTGACTGACAAAACTGTGTAGAAGGAAGGTCTTGCATTACACAAAGTGCTGGCTAAACTGCCATAGCAAAACTTCAGTGGTGACAACACGGTCAGAGTTATTTTGTCTCCACTCGCTCCAGGCAGGGTGTGTAGCTCGGTTTTCTAAAATCACCCATCAACTTGGCTTCCAGCTTCTTTCTCTGTGCTTCTCTCTGGTGTCTCTCTCCTGATGGTCAGGACTAGTTCACCAGGCCCATGTTCACATGCTAACCTAGGGAAAGGAGAAAGGAGGATGTGACAGGAAAGCAGATGCACGGCTTATAAAAATGTGGTGCCAGTTGGCTGTGGTGGGACACACCTGTAACCCCAGTACTTTGAGAAGCTAGGCAGGAGGATCACAGTGCAAAGGTTGGAGCCCACACTCAGTAACTTCCTGAGTGTCTGTCTCAAAATAAAAAAGAAAAAATTTAAAAATACCTGGGGATGTAGTTGGCTGTGAAAGCCCTGGGTTCCATTTGCCAATAGCAACACACACACACACACACACACACACACACACACACACACACACAAATGCAAGATTAAAATTCGCACATTATTACCTTTACTTACATCTCACTGGGTAAATCACTGTCACATGGTCGTACCAGGTTGGTAATGATGCTGGGAAATAGAGACTGTAATTGAATAGCAATGTGTTCTACTAAAATTCAGGGCTGTGTTGCAAAAAAGACATCTGGAGAGTCATTTGACCAACTGATTAAAATTTGGCTGGAATTAAAAGACTGATGTCAAGTAGATGGGATATGAGATGGTACCTTCACCTAACGTCTCAGGCCTGGAGACAGCTCTGTCGCTCCTGCCCTGGGCATTTACTTAAGAGGATTAATGACCTATGTCCACTGAGAGGCTGATGCAAGAGTGTTCATAGGACCCTGCTTCAAAACAGCCCTAACCCAGAAACAAACCTAAGACACCAACAGCACAGTGTTTCATTGTGCTGTGAGTTGTTTGGCTCATGAAAATGAACTTGTAAAGAAAATGGTTATTAAATAATATCAATAATATAATATTCAGCTTTACAGAAACACACTCATAAGATACAGTTTTCCATATATCCATTTTTTATATGAAATAAGGGGCTCATGAAGTGTTTAGGGCCTTCAAAACTCACAGTGCAGCCCTGCAAACAACAAAGATGATTAAAACATAAAACATTGTTTAACCTATATTAAAAACATAGGTTAAACAAACCAAAAAAAAGATACAAAAGACTACATGCTGGTTGATATATTGAAATGAAGGTCTAGAACAGGCAAAACTGACCTCTATGGATAATAATCAGACAGAGATTGGCTCTGGGGTGGGGAGGGATTGCTGAAACAGAGGAAAATAGGTACTTTCTGGGAAAACAGACTTTGGGGAAGCCACGAAGGTCAGGGTGGGATGTCTTTTGGCTGGTGCCTGCCTATGCTGAGATCAGGATATTTTATATCTTGTTTTTGCACCTAGGGGGTATCCAATTTTTCTAAATTCATGGAACTAAATCTTTAGAATCTATGAATTTATTCTAGAATAATTATGCCACAATTTTTAAAAAGGAAGAACGGTGAGAATGGACATCAGGGCCTAAATACTGGTATAGGTTAAGTTTCATAGCACTGTAAAACCGGTCTGCTTAGCACAATCACCACCATGCTGAACTGTGACTAAACTTTGTGGTTGGGTCTTGCCAAAAATAGGTCGTACTGAAACTAGGTCTTTGAGTAAACAACTGTCCTGGAAACTGAGGTAAACATGTTCTAGAGGGACAAACTGCAAAGAAAACCCAAATGGCCACCTGTTTCTTGTGAAATTTTACCAGCAGATACCCCACCACCACCACCACCACCATGCTAAAAAGCCTTAAATAGCAAGGCAAGCTTCACTTGGGGCCAGCTGGTTGGAGTGTACTCATTGTTAGTGGATGCTGCTGATGGCCATCAAGCTCCATTATTAATAAATTACTATTCAATTTGGCCTGTTTAATCTGAGTCTCGTTTGTGAATCCACCACATTATGACCTCTGTGACTCGTTTGTGAACCCACGCGTTATGAGCTCTGTGACAGATCTGGTAGGCTTAGCTGACGAGGTTTCCTGTGGTGTTTTGGTAAAAGAATCTTTGGGAACACAAATGCAAGAGCCTGTGCCCTCTGACAGGCCAGTGGGGACACCACTTTGCTTTGTATTTGTCAAGGATTTCTATTTCCAGCAACAGAACAGAGCTGGTTGGCTTAAGCAGAGAAAGAATTCATTGCCAGGCTCAGTGAAGTATTCAGAATAGGCTCTGTAGGCAGGTAGAAATTAACGGGAGCAAAACACAAACACAAATCACATCATCAGGTCACTGGTGGGAACGGGATGTTATCACCCCCATTCTTGCTCTCCCAGACTTTGGGGGTCTGGCTCAGGCTTTATTACACCCCCAAAACATAAAACCTATGTGAAAGCACGTGATGGGGGAGCCTAGGTCAGGCCCGCCTGTAATATTTTGCCAGGAGCCGTTGGTTTCTGGCCTGGGAGATGGGGTCCCAAAAGGACCAGTCTCACAGCACATCTGTCTTGTTCCGATTCTTGCTTGTCGTGCTAAGGGGCTTCCAAGATCCAGGACAGACCCAGTGTTGAAGTTCCTTCAGATCCACAGTGAACTGCACAAGAGGTGTGGCAGTGTCACCCAGACCCACCCATCTAGAAGAAAAACCAGTTATACTGGTGAGAGGTGGAGAGGGGACCAACCATGAACACAGCAAGACTAGGAGAAAGCTGCCTTTAAAAGGGATAGGATGAGTTCTGACGTCAGAGGAGAGCGGAGGGGCGTGTGTGTGTGTGTGTGTGTGTGTGTGTGTGTGTGTGTGTGGTGTCCTGACATCTAAGAAGGGAACAGGTTTTACTTCATTCCTGTTTGGACTGGTTGCGGGGAAGAGATGCGTTTTCGACATGCTAAATTTGCGATGACGACGTCTTCCAATACAAAACTGAAATTACACTTTGGGGAATCAACGAAGGTCAAGCTGGGCCGTGTTTAGGCTGGGGCCTGCCTAAGCCGAGACCAGGAGCTGAGGAGACACGCTGGAGGGAGGCTCCCGGGGACCGCGGGCGACAGGAACCGGGTGACCCAGGAGCTTAACCCCGGACTTCGCCAAGTGCCCGAGCACATGCCCGTCCGCGCCCACTCCCCGCGCGCTGCCCTGGGCGCGCGCCCCTCCCGGGTCCGCCCCTCCAGGCGTGGCGAGGACGCACGCAGGCCGCTGTCACCCGGAAGACGCGACTGGGCTGACGCGGGTGGCCCGCAGGGGGCGGTCGAAGGGCGAGAGGGCCGCTGGATTCCGGATGCCGGGGTCTGCGGCGCTGGGCGCGGCGGCGATCGCGGTGGTGGGCGTGCTGCTTCTCTTGCAGCAGGAGGACGCGGGGCCCGGTGCTGGGCTCAGGTAACCCTCGGAGGAGGACCGAGCTGGGCCCCGAGCCTGGGATGTCATGGGGGAGAGCCTGCGTTGTGTGGCACCCACCTGCGCCCAGGGGTGCGCACGGCCCCGTTACCTGCGGCCACGGCGCAGGGGCGCCCACCTGGGCAGGTGACTCTGCACTTTGCCTGGGCGGCGCCTTGGAACTGATAAACAGCCCTGTTCCCGAGGTAGGTAAGGACAGTGCGTATCCAGTATCCAGACCTGCACTGTCACTGTTCTTTCCCCAGAATGACCGAGACGCAGGCGCTGCCGAAGCTTCGGGAAGACTTCAGGATGCAAAATAAATCTGTCTTTATTCTGGGTGCCAGCGGAGAAACCGGCAAAGTGCTTCTGAAAGAAATCCTGGAACAGAACCTATTTTCCAAAGTCACTCTCATTGGCCGCAGGAAGCTCACCTTCGAGGAGGAGGCTTATAAAAACGTGGTGGGTATTTTAGTTGGGACTCAAAAATGTATCACCTGCTTTGGTTTTGATTTTGCAAAGTGAACATATTTCATACACACAAATTGAACGTGCTGGACCGTGGGGAAATTAGGGCCGGGATTGAGCTGCCAAAGTCCTCCGTCTCACCGCCCAGAACTGGGCGAAGCAGGCCCTGGTTTGATAGAACTGGCGAGACAGGACGAAGAGCTCTGTTTTTAGTGCATGCAAGAGCAGGCTTTAGAGTTTGTCCGGAAACCAGGGCAGTTTTCTGGACTCTATGGCTTATCTTGGCGGCCTGCACACTGAAGAGGGTAGCGTCACAGAATCTGAAAGGCCTTTAGTGGACCACCTTGCCCCTCGAGGCTCCCCAGGCTTGTGTTCCAAAAGGAACATTACCTTCTACCAAAGTTCACGTTCATGAGCAAGCAAGAGATGCCCCAACTTTCATCTGGTGATGCCTAATAAATATCTTCCAGTCTGAACTTCGTGGAGATTCTGATCCCTAAAGTGCATTATCCACGAATTTGCAGCAAATTGAATAATGTAGTCTGTTTCTGAGGCACCACAGAATTTAGGTAGGAAGTGGACTTCGTGGGAAAGAATATTCCAGATAACAAACAGGCGCACAGATGAAGTGTTCTTGACTCCCATAGGTCCACGTTGACGTCATTTCTCATGTCTTTGGCCTAACAGGACTTGGCCTGTTTGAAACAGACATCTTTGCTTAGACCTGTGCAAGTGTTACGTGGTCTTCATGTCCTCTTTTCTGGGACCTGTGAGAGGTTCCTGGTAGTCAGAGCCTTACTCTGAGATGTATCTTTGAGAGAGCACTGGAGGGGGCACATCTCTTGAGCAAGCAGTTTGTGAAAACCTGTTTTTCTTCAGCATTTTATACAGTGCCAGGAAAGTGCTTTTGGGCAAGGCTGGGGAAGTACCCCTGTGGTAGAGCACTTACCTAGCGTGAGTGAGGCAAAGTAGTCAGTCTCCAGCATTACAAAAAAGGATGGTAGCTAAGGAAGCTAAGACATTATTCGAACTCCTGGGTGATGGAATTTCTCAAACTTTCATGGTGTCATGACTTATTTTTCATGGTGTCGGACTTAAAAGGATAGACAGGTTCTTAAATGTCAGCGTGCGTTAGCATTACTATGAGTTCAGTATTCAGGCTGACTCAGAAGTGTTGGCATGGAAGATAAAAAGGAATATGCCTTTTATCAAGCACCTTTGGGCTGACTCTGATGCAGATAGTTTATGAATTGGACTCACATTTTATAGCTAAAAAATGATGATCCATAAGTTGATGGCAGCGATTTGCCTAATAAGTAGTAGGAACAAGATTTGAACCTCAGTCTTTGAGATTCCAAACACCTACCTCAGTGATCTCCTTCTGGTCAGCTGCAGATACTTTTTTTTTTTTTTTGCATAAATAAATTATAATTGAACCTGATTTTACAAATCTGTATCACCCCTCGTCTGGTTATATGACGATAGGTATAGTGTTGATTTCCAATTCAGGCTGTGTTTTGGTGGGAGAAAATGAATTGGTAAAATGAGTAAGTGCTTAGACCTGCTAGTAATGAGCTGGAGTTTATTCTTGAAGTTTATTCTTCTGTGTGTTTCTTAAATAACATGAAGTTTTATATTCTGTGTCCTTGTTCAGAATCAAGAAGTGGTAGATTTTGAGAAGCTGGATGACTACGCTTCTGCATTTCAAGGTCATGACGTTGGATTTTGTTGCCTGGGCACCACCAGAGCAAAAGTGGGAGCGGTAAGGAAGAAATGCCCATTCCCCCCTTGGCGCTGGCCAGTAGTAGCAGGGATTCCTTTCTTGCTTACTCTTCTCCATCTATGGTGGTCCTGAAATGTAAGGAAGAGTTTATAGTTGAAGATTTCATCTACTGCCTTCACTTTGTTATACCCTGAATGGTACTGATAGATTTCTTTCCTTCAGGTTACTAAATTCAGGCCTGAGCACTGGGTACATCATACGTATTTGCACGATCTTGCCTGTAGCTGATGGTTCTATCACAGTAATTTCCCCTAAGACAGTGAGGTCCTGCTTCATCATCGATCACCAAGTGCCATGATGGGTGTTTTAAACTTGAAGCATTGTCCCTCACTTGAGTGATTAGCTTTAAACTCTTTTTATGCCACCCTTCAAACTTTGGGGACAGACCTTCAGAATTGGGAAGCAGGATTCAGCCGGCCCCCTGGGGGTGACTCAGCCCTCATCAGTGATTCAGCCTCAGGGATGATTCAGCCTTACTGACGCAAAGCTCTTTAAACACGTGCTTTATTTCTTTTTTAATGGTGTTCTAAGTGATTTACCCCTCTCCAATAGTCATAGATTACTATATAGCTAAATGCCTCCGTTTAAATTGTAGACCTGGGCAGATGTGAATGGATCTACGTAACTTATACCTTGATTGTTGTTACTACCTGGCAGAATTTACTTGCTGGAGCTGAGTGTGTCTATTAAATATGCAGGGCCATGACTGCCCCAGTGACTTCCTGAAGGTTTTTTAAGCTGTCCTCGATGCATCTAAATCCTTAGGGCACATATGATTAGAAATATTGGTTTATATCAACTGAGTAGTTAGACCCAGTTGTGTTTCTAAGGGCGCCTCAGCGACCAGAGGACAGTTCTACTCAGCTTTCAGCTGAGATGAATTCCTAAATCTTATGCAGTTCTGCTCGTCCCTCCTGCAGCAATGCTGGGTTCTGAGCTCTGTGGTGAGAATTGTGGATTACAGAGACATTTGATTCTCCTAGGAATTGGCCCATTATCCCTTCTAGAAGGGGTCACCTTCCTGCTTCACAGTCTGTTCTGTTCCAGGGAAGGTCACCAAGTGCTGTACCCTCCAAAAGCACTGGAAAACGTTTGTTCTCGGACACTGCAGGCTTTGCTGCCTTCAGCCCTTGCCTGGTTTCAGGGTGACTCAGCAGAATGAAGAGCTGCATTAAGCGTGGAGCAGTTGATTTGCACGACCTAAGGCCAGTATCATAGTGTGCCACAGGGAGAGCCCTGAATCGCTTTGCTGCACGCTTTGTGCAGAGCTGTTTTCTTCAGAGGAATTCACTCTTCGGGGTATTTTTAAACATAGGTAAAATAGCCTTAGAAATGAGTTAGGACTTTAACAGCTTGGAGAGTGATAGCAAAAAGCAGAAAGTAAGCTAGCACTCCATCTGGAAAGGACCGTCTTTTTGTTTTGTTTTTGTTTTCAGCATGGGGATTGAACCCAAGGCCTCATGCTCTTAGCTCTCAGCTATTCCCCAACCCCTACCCCCCCCGCCCTTTTTTTTGCTAATTTGGGTTGGGTGCAATATAAAATTTGGAGGTTGTGATAACTTTAGGCAGTTTACAAGAGGTAATGACTTAGCAAGATAAGGATACTGGTTATGAGGGGCGTTTGCATTTCAGCCTGTTTCTGTCTGCGCTGGAATTCTGAGGCAGTATTGCTCTCTGGAGAAGAGTTCATTGTAAATCAGCAGAGGGCTACTGAGAAGTCAGGGGTGAGCCTCTCATGTGTCACCCAGCCCCATTTGATAACTGGAACACCCCGTGTTTGGCCTCAGCAATCTGCCTTTTCAGTTGAGGAACTTGCAGAGGCTCAGTTTTGGTCTCAGGCTCTTTCCCTCCCGTCTTTGGTATGCCCATTTAATAGGACTACAGGGCAGAATTGCATGGCTTAAACAACCGTTCTAGAGGGCAGAGCCTAAGGGAAAGGTGTCGCTGGGGTTGCATCCTTCGAGGGCTGTGGGGAAGGCATCTGCAGTCAGTTTCCAAACAAGGTTACATTCTCAGCTACTAAGGTCAGGACTTCAACATATGCATTTTAGGGGAATCCAATTCAGCCCATAGAAGTCAGTCTACTCAAACGCCTGTTGGAAGTGATGCCAGTGAAGAGTCTGCTGGCGGTCTTCAGCTGCCTGGAAAACCATTTCCCTGAGCCATTGCTGGTTAGATGCTCACCTTCCTTTTACATCCACAGGCCATAGTGGTCTGGTCAGTGCAATGGACCCCTGACTGGCTCCAGTCCACATCTCTTGGGTCAGAATCTCTGAGGCTGGAAGCTTGGTATCTGTGTTTTTAGCCGACTCCTTGGGAGATCTGAGATGGCCTGCTCTACTTTCCTTGTTGTGTCTGCTTTGGGGAACACTGGGCTCTGTTAGTCTTCTTCACCTGCTGGTTTTCCAAGCACTCTAGTCCTAGATGATCTTCACCTTGCTTTAGTGACTGTGTGCTAGAGATGCTTGAAATAACCCTTTGAAAACCAGATTGACAGCTTGATATGTTTGCACGTGCCTATAATCCTAGCACTTGGGAGGCTGAGGCAGGAGAATCGACACAAGTTGGAGGCCAGCCTGGACTGTATAGTGAGACCCTATCTCAAAATAAACAAAAACACAAAACAAATAAAACTAGGTGAGCATTGGGCTTGAGTAAAAAGCAAAATTGAAAGATAACACTGTGAATTTCCCTTTTAAAAACTTGGTTTTAGGGCTGGGGATTTAGCTCAGTGGCATAAGCGCCTGCCTTGTAAGCAGGCAGTTGTGAGTTCAATTCCTGGTACCGATAAAAACAAAAAAGACCAAAAAAAAAAAAAAAAACCAACTTGGTTTTATTAATACATGTTTACTGTATGTAATGTTTACAGTCATAGTAAAGAGCATTACATGTGCTTAACATTTCTTTGTAGTATCAGAAGGATTTGGTCGGTGACTCTGGATGGTTTGAAGTGATTTCACCTGTTCATCAGTCTCCTTACCTCGGGTTCTTTCTTATATTCTGTTGAATGGATGATATGTTAATGTGATTAATGCATCCATTGCAGCATTTATTTGGCATCATTAGGATCCTGTGGCTTCTGATTCTGGTCAAATATTCTTTTCATAAAGGAATTTGCAAACTATACCTAGGGGCCAAATACAGCCTGCCAGCTGCCAGCTGCCAGCTGTTTAATGTATGGCCTACAAACTGTGTCTTTCTATTTTAAAGTGGTTAAAAACGTTTAAAAGAGTAATGTCACACAAAGTAGAAATGTAGAAATTTCAAATTTATATTCTGAGTGTGGTAGTGTATGCTGATATTGCCAACTACCTGGGAGGCTGAGACAGGAGAGTCACTTGAGCCTGCCAGCCTGTATATCGTAGCAAGACCTTGCCTGAAAAAAAGAAAGAAAGAAAGAAACTTAAAAGTTTGATGTCCAGAATTAAAGGTTTACTAGAACACAGCCAAGCTTATTACTGTAATTATTCTCTGAGGATGCTTTTGTGCTATAATAGTGGAGCTGTGTAGATGTGACAGAGGCCTGCAAAGCTAGCAGCGGTTATTATCTGGTCCTTCATGGCAAAACGTTGCCCACTCCTGTCTTAATTGTGGTCGTTTTAGATGACATGCGGTTGGGGGCGGGGTGCGAGTAGAGAGGTTCTAGGATCGCAGGCCCATTTTAGAAACCAGGTGGCCGTGCCACCCTGGTATTGTTGCTTAGCCCCAGTCCACCAGGTCCTGACTGACACTGAGAGGGTGGCTGTCAAACCCCTTTGCCCATTTGCATTCTTTTCTTTAATTGTGGAACAGAGTAAAAGGTGCCCCAGATGGAAACATTTTTAGAACAGTGATTGTCCCAGTATCTGTTTGATTTTATTTTATCATTTTGGGCTCTTTCTCTAAGCGCCTTCTCCCACCTCTCTGTCTCAAATACAGAGGTGCCCTCTGGGACATAAACAGATGTGACCTCAGTTTATACCATTTGTTGTCTGTCAGTGTCTCTGTTTTCTAGTCTGATTTAGGGTTGGACTGAAAAGGGAATCCAGGAGAAAAGACCCAAAGCAGAAACAGGACTAAGGGAGACCAGGTACAGAATGACAGCTTCCCCTTCTCAGAGAGGACACCTGTGACCTTCCTTGGTCACTCAGTGTGCTCCTGGACCTATTCGTTGTCAACCATGAAATACCTTGTCAGGATGAGTCATTCTTAGGCCACAATACCGTTAGCAGTTTTCAGGCGTTGGTGAAGAGGACTCAGAGAAATACGAGATAGGATCCACAGTTACAGTTTAAATTTTAAAAAATTTATCACAGCAAGACATATTTGCATGAATCCCCTCAAAATACTCCCACACAGCCATCCCAGGGCTCCTGACAGTGTTGGAAGTATCCTGGGCGTCCGCTCCCAGGCGTCTTTTTTTGTAGCTTCAGTATCCTGAATCAATGCAAACCATTTACCTTTACATGTTTTTGCCCCCAAACGTTTAACTTCCACGGTCATTTTGACTTTGGAGAAGTCACACGGTAGCAGATCTGATGAATAAGATGGATGAGGACACTCTGTCATGATTTTATGTGCTGCCTTTGTTTGGATGACATTTGGTACCAATGTTCACTGTGTTTTTGAACACACCTCATAAAGACACTCATGAAAAGGACTTTCAGAACTGCTTCAGGAAGCAGCAAGAATGATGAGTGTGCTCAATGCGAGGAGAAGCATTTTGAGAAACAATAACCACAGTGTGTCTTTTACTGTAGTAAATTTTAAAAATTTGAGCACTCGATGTAGTTTTTGGTTACTCCCTGTACTTAGTAGCTTTGGATAGGATTAAACTTAAAATAAGAGTAATTGGAGAATTTGTCTCCTTCAGTGTTCGTGGTACCAATGAGGATGTGCGGAATTGTAGTACTTCGTATATATTCTTTTGGGTGCTGGGAAAGGAACTTATTTATTTCTTTTTTTAGAAGGAACTCTGATTCTTAGAGTAGGACCCACTGATGGGTTAAAGAATTGCGAAGACAGGCTAACAAGATGGGATTAGTTCTCTCAGAAGAGATGGCCGTTTCTTTCTTGCCCTATGGTTAGGGAAGTATGCATAGTTTTTCCAAAAATTGTGTTTCTGGGGTACAGTTGTTTTTCTATTGTTTTTCAATTTGGATGGAGGAGACTATAAAGGCAGCTCCTCCCTCTGTGGGTAGGCTGCCCCTCACTCCAGAGAGGGTGGGGTGGGGAGTGGGGGTGTGTGGCTGTCTCTCCCAGCCCGTCCTCAGCACCCTGCTCAGTTTGATTTCTAAGTCCTTGAAAACCGTTGACTCTTTCCCTTTTGAGTTCCCATTCACCAGCCAAAAGGCCATGCATCAGGGCGAGGGAAGTGAAACTTAAAACTTAGTGGGCTCAGAAAAATGCGTTTTTATAATCAGCTTGAGAGCTCAGAGGATTTGCGGAATCGTTTTGGATTAACAGCCATTGATTGCTAATAAAACAATATTTAGCTTTATGCAGAGAATGCCAGCGGAGAAAGGTGTGGGCACCTTGTCACCGGGGCTCATTGAGCGGGGATGATGGGCTGAGGGTGGGGGTCTCTGAGGTGGCGTGGGTGCTCCTCCTTCAAGGGGAGCTTGTCAATTGCCAGCAAGGCTGGTGAAAGGAAGGACGCCAGAGTCTGATGGCTGGGGTGGTATTGATGTGCCTTCGATGACTAATCACATTGAAAGAATCCAATGGTATTTATGTCACTTTAATTTTCATCAAACAATTGGAGACGACAGCACTCTATTAAGGAGAGGTTGATCCAGAACTAAAGCCAAATAAATTAGGGTCTCAGTTTAATCAAATTATCCGTCTTCTGGCCCAGGATTAAGTCAGAGAGACAGCGTCGGTCTGGAGGCCTGGGATTGGCTGAATCTTTTCCCTGATGTTTAAAGAAGCTGATGAAAAGAAAAGCGTTTTTACAGAGACAACTATAATAATCCTTCCAAGGGATCGTGCAAACACAACAACAAAACTCACAAAATTTATTTCTGCAGTCAACTACATTATTTTATTGTGAATAAAAGGCAAATTAATGAAATTGAAGTTCCACTAAATTGGAGTGAGAGAAAGTAATAGACATGGAGGAGAACTTCAGTTGGAATTTTTCTGTGTGGTTTTGGGTTTTTCTTGGCACACTTTGGGAACATTTAAAATCTCCATTTGGGGAAAAGAAAGACTCTGATAAGAATCACTTCTTTCTCTCTCTTTCTCTTTCCCAGAATATGTTAAATATTAAAATTGGTTTGTTTCATACAAGGTGAATTTGAAACAATGTAGAACAGGTCAGCCAGTCAGTTGTTGAGAATTGAGCATCAATGTGTGGGTCAGAAAAGAAAATGGTGGTGATTCTTGGGGAGGGAGATGAGTTTTTACTACCTAAAGTAAGGCAGAAAAAAATAACACCACCCTGCAGGTCATGGGTATGGACAGCAACATACTTGTGAGTGATCAGAAAGGAGAATGAGGGTGATTCCTAGAGTGATCATGATGTTGTATTTCTCAGTCTAGCAGTTGCTTGCAGAGGAGAGAAGCCTGTGAAAGCTCACTGAGCTCTCTGCTTAACAATATATTTTCTGTTTTTAAAGATTCCAATACAAAGTTTTAAAAGTTTGCTTGGGTCTGTTATTTAAAAATTGAATTGTGTATTAATTTCGTATTGCTGTTGTAACCAAGAACCTCAAATTTGGTATTTTAGAACAGCACAAATTTCCTTCCTTACAGTTCTATAGGCTAGAAGTTTGACATGGATTTTCCTGGGATGAATCCAAGGTGGTGGCGGGCTGAGCTCCTTCCTGGAGGCTCAAGGGGAGAACCCTTTCCTTACATTTTCCAGCTCCTCCAGGCTGCCTGCTGCCCTTGGATCATGGTCACTAATGGTTGTCCATGCTCAGGGCCAGCAGTTTTAGGTTGAGCCCTTTTCACATCACCTGCCTTTCACCCTGCTGCTTCTGTTGACTGAGCAGCCTTGGGGAGGGCATGGAGTCCAAGGGGATAATGTAAATAATCTCCCCTTTATACAGTCAGCTGATCTGTACCTTTACAGGTGTCCTGCAACATTAGCACTCCTGTGCCATGTCACTTGTCGTGTTCCCAGGTAGAGGACTGGGAGGTGAAACTCTTTTGAGAAGTTATTCTTCTGTCTACCAGCATCACAGATGTTCCTTCCATCAGCAGGAGGGAGTTTGGGACAGAAAGGCCAGGCCTGTAATGGAAAGAGCATGGCTTGGAGCGCCAAGGATCTGCATCCTGCTCTGAGCTCTCTCCTCCTAGCCAACACTTCATAGGACCCTGGGACCTTGTCCCCTTGCCGCGGTAGTTCTTAAGATCCCTTCTAACACTCCCTGAAAGAAGCAAGTCACCTTACTGAAGAAAACATTTAGAACAACTGTGACAGGGATTTTAATGTAAAAAATCTTTTGTGCAGGAATCTGATCTTCAGATTTGCCATTTTGCTCCTATAGGAGCTCACTAGATAAATGGGGACAATCAGCTTTAGGGACCTTCACCTTCTCTTCACTGCGTTGAGTTTTGGGGTGCCAGAATTGGTGATGGTCCCAAGAAGCTGCGGGGAAGCACCCATGTCCTCCAGTTGTGTTGTTCACATTGTCCTCTCCTCTACTCCTGTCATTTCCCTTTATGTAGTGTTTTTTGATCAGGGAATCGAACTCAGGACCTTGTGTTTGCCAGGTGGGCGTTTTGCCACTGAGCTATACCCCTGAAGTTTTTTCTCTTTGGATTTGCCTTTTCTCTGCTTTTTTTTTGGGGGGGGGGACTTTTATTCATTAATTCAAATATTTTTAACTGTGTGCTAGGTATGTGCTGTTGCTGTGATGTGAATTAAGAAAGACCCAGCCACTGTCCTCATTGTAGTGAGTCTAGATCAGGGCTCTCCTAGTATGTATATCATTTTAATTATGTATCTCTTAGCAAAAAAACCCAAAACATTTCTTCCTAATCCCTAAGGCATGTTGTGCAGCATATACAGAAATCAGAAATTAACCTGCTCTCATAGTGCCCGAGAAGTGTCCTCAGACATGCTCTGACAGTTAAAAAAAAAAAAAAAAAAAGAGTTGTAAGGTCATCAGGTTATTAAAAAACAAAAGAATGTGTGACTCTCAGCAGTTTCCCAGCCTCATCTTCGTGTTCCCTTTGTGTCTTGTGATTAGTTCGGTGTCCGGGCTTCAGTGTCACTGTCCCTGCTTTCCCAGTGTAGCCTGGCCTTGCTGCCGCCGCCCCTGGAGGTCTGTCTGGAGGACCATGCTTGGAGCCTTTTCCAGGACCGAACCCTGACTCTCAGGACTTACCTGGACACATTTTATTTAGCTCCCTTTTCTCCCAGACCTCCCACTCTGCTTCCCAACCAAGTAGTCATCTTTAAAATGAATCTGGGGCCTCTGGGAGGTAACTCACATCCTTTGTCCATGCAGGAAGGATTTGTTCGTGTTGACCGGGATTACGTGCTGAAGTCTGCGGAGCTGGCAAAAACTGGAGGTTGCAAACATTTCAACTTGGTGTCCAGTAAAGGAGCCGATAAGTCAAGCAACTTTTTGTATTTACAAGTTAAGGTTTGTACACATTTCTTTCTTTAATGTGCTTTGGGCTAATTGATAATACTAAATAATACCAAATAACTGCTAGTATTTAAAAAATATAAGTGCATTTAATTATGTACTTTTCCTAGCCATAGGGAATATTTTTGCAGGAGTATATTCAGGAAGTAGGAGTGATTTGAAAGATAATTTGCAATGTCTTCCCTCCTTTTGGGGTGTGTGTGTGTGTGTGTGTGTGTGTGTGTGTGTGTGTGGTGTGGGGGGAGCATACTGGGGAATTGAATCTGGGGCCCTCTGCACGCTAGCAAAGTGCTCTACCACTGCGCTACATCCCCTGCCATTTTTACTTTTTTGGGACGGTGGTGTTGGTTGCCCAGGCTGGCCTTGAACTGGAGATCATCCTACCTCAGCCTCCCAAATAGCTGGGATTGTAGATGTACACCATCACTCCCGACTTCTTCCCTGCTGTTAATTATCCAAGAATCAGTACAGTGAGCTGTGACAGCTCTGGCCTTGAACATCAGCATGGTATTTTGGACTAGAGGCTCTAATTCCTAGAGTGCACTTTCTCCTCAGTTTCTCTACTGGCTGAGAGGAAGGAGCTTATGCTTCTTAGGACATCTGGTGACATTTAGCCTGAAGCAGTGTGGTAATTATAAATTCAACTTTTCATAAAAGATTTTTTAAAAATTCGTGCACATTGACACACATTTTATGTAGTCTCATTATGATACATATTCCTGTTGATTTTAATTGAAAAAGTTAAGGTTCCACTTTTTAACCTTGAAATAAAATTGGTGCTACAGAAGATGGGCCATGGCTTTGTGTCCCCAGGCACTCCTCATGCCCTCAGCAGGGTGCAGAGGTTATTTGGCCAAACTTTGTTTCTATTATGAATTTTATTTACAAAAGTTCCCCTGGCTTCTGCTTAAACACCTGCAACAGGAGGGAGTTTGCTGCTGTTAATCAACTGCTCCTCAAAAAGTCCTCACCTTGGTCAGATGCACTTGTCCAAAGCCCTCACTTTGAGCTGAAATCAGTTGCTTTGTAAATGTCAATTGTTATCTTTCTGAGTTTTAAAAACAAAAACATGCCCAGTCCTACTTTTGTATGTATAGTTTTTAAGATATTTTATGATAGTTTTCTAAACTGTACTTTTTCCAGACAATGCCTGCAAGGGTTGCACTCTACTCTTAGTTCTTATTTCTAGCATCTTCTTGACCCTGAAGTTGTCTGGAATTGCATTGGCCTGCTTTTTACTCTCAAAACACAAATCTATTTGTTTAAAAAAGAGACACAAGATTGGTTCCATTTTAGTAAACATCTTTATCATTGTTGTGCTCATGATCAGCTTGTGGTAATATATGTTTCCAGATCTTTTTCATATGGCTTATCCTAAAACAGTACTTGAAGGCACATGAAGACCAATGAGCTACCAACAAGGTTAAGTCAAAAATGATAATTTTAACTTACTAGAGTGACTTTAGAACAATCCTTAAAAGAAAAGTTTTTTCAGAATACACATGTGGTTTCTGAAAAAGAGTATCAAATGGCACATTTTGCCCTCCTTGGCAAGGTAGACATTTATACCTGTTACTACTGAAAATATTACGTATATTTCCTCATGTTGGTAAAGGAACTACTGCTACTGACTGACTGGGTTATAATAATGGCTCAGTGAGACCAAAACAGTTAACACTAATTGTGCTATTTCAAAGCTAATTTCAAACACTAATTGAGAACAACTCAAAGGGCTCTTAGGTGCATTTGTATGGAAACTGAGATCTAGGCAGGTAAGTAGCTGGGCTGGAGCTGTCTCTCAGGCAGTCTGATTCCAGGGCCTGTGCTGCTAAGCATTATGTAATGAGCACCTTCTGTTACTAACATGTGGGAAGGACTTAGCATAATGCTTGAGCCATGACAGTGCCTCAGCAAATAGCTGTAGTAACAAAATGGAGAAAGAGTTCTCCCTTCACAGAAGTTGGCTGGTATTACCTACAGCATGACATTATATGTGAAATTAGTTAAAAGGACAGAACCGATAACCAAATTGTCCATCCCAGAGTGATCTTGAACAACACAGATGCATCTAGAATTTGGAGATACGATCTATCCTGAATAACCTTACTCTTATCTCTCACTGGTGAGACAAAATACCCAAAACCCAAAGTTAAATGAGGGACAGTTTATATAGCTTACAGTTTGTAGAGGTTTCAGTCCTTAATCAGCTGGCTCCAGGTCAAGGTATCATGGCAGAAGGGCAACCACCATTTTTGTTCACAGAAGATTCCAAAAGCAACGAGTAAAAGGAGAGAAGCAAACCTCTTTTTCCCTTTGTTGTATGCAGTTTACTTGCCCTAGGCGGCGGTAGCACTCACACCCTCAATCCCAGCAGTAAACAATGAATCAGTCAAAAACCCTAGATTCAGCTACTTCTTTTTTTTTGTTTTGTTTTTTGTCCTTTTCCTTTTTTTTTCCGGTACCGGGGATCGAACTCACGACTGCCTGCTTGCAAGGCAGGCACTTATGCTGCTGAGCTAAAGCCCCAGCCCCGATTCAGCTACTTCTAAAAAGCCTGGCCCCATGACTGCATGAGGCTTTGGGTGGGGGGTGGGACAACATCCAGACACAAACCCTAACAACCTTTTAAATACTGTGTATAACATTTCTCATATTTATTCTTCGTGTCCTCAGCCTTCTTGTTTCTCCACTCAGTTGGAGAAACTCTTGTATTCTTTAGGAGCACTTACTCCCCAAGAATGGTTCAACTGCATGCATTGCGGAGGCCTGATTAGTCACATACCTTCCTGGGCACTGGTGCTATGGGGAGAACTGTTGGACCCTACAGCACATTTCACCACCAGAGTTGCTCCTTGACCTTAAAGAAATTTTGATTTGCTTCTCTGGGGGAATCCCCAAGAATACCCTCAAGTTTGCTTATTTTCCAGAAAGTCTCACGGGTTGTAGCAGGTAGTCATACCTGCAGCTCTGTGAAATTACAAGAAAAGGAAATCAGCAAAGGGAACAGATGTAAAGGGCAAAGGCCAGAGGGAAGTAGGGGGAGGTTTCTAAAAGGCCTCTCCCAGCTGGCTGCACAGGCTGCGCTGAATTTCCCCAGCCTGGGTCCTGTGTGCCAGAGTTGTTCACCTGAGCTCAACATTGCAGGGTTTTTGTGGGAGTCCATCACGCAGGAATGACTAGGCTCACCAAAATAACAAGAATGGAAGGAACACTCTTAAATCCATGTTCCCAGGTACAAGCTAAGGGCCTTCCTAGGCAAGTCTTCCTAAGGATAGCAATCTTAGGCCTGCTCTGTTTACATTTTTTATTAGCAGGCATATGCTAGTGAAACTTGTGTTTGTGTTAAAAAGCTAACTGAGAAGCAAAAGGTTTATATAAGCACTTGTATAAGAGTGTTCATGGCAACATTATTCATCATAGCCAGCATGAAACAACCAAGATGTCCTCAACTGATGAATGGATGAATAAACCGTGGCGCACCAATACAACGGAATATTACTCAATTATAAAAGGAATAACCGTGTGCTTACTTCAGCAGCACATATACAAACAAAAAGGAAGGTACAGAGTAGGCAAAATTACAGAGATAGAAAGTAAACTGGTAGTAGGGTAGGGTGTGGGGAGAGAGGATGGCCATGGTTGTGAATGGTATATTTCTTAGATTTCAAACTTAGATTTTAAGACTTAGATTGTGATAAAGGTTGTATTGTGAATATGCTAAAAACTACCGGTTAAATATGAGAACGATGTCTTAAGTAGCTGAGGTTATATGATGTGTCAGGTTCAGTGGAAACTGGTATAGACTGGTGCCCAAGGAGGGCCTCCTGTGAATGAAGGTTACTTCACAGCAGGTCCCTGTGGCCAGCGCACCTCTGGCGTTTCAGTTAAGGGTTGCCTGCATGGAAATGAGTGGTTTGCTTAACAAATTCAAAGCATGATCTATGTGTAATCTTGTCTTTTGAAATCCGGGGCATGGAGCCATTACAAAATCAGTAATGCAGGTGTCTTCTGTGAGTTTTCTCGCCCACTGGAACTACCTGTAAACCCTCCCAATCGCCCAGAAAACTTAACGTCTGCTAATTTGCAGCACTGATTCTGGACTAAAGTGAAAATGCTTTAGTGATTAAAACAACCTATCATTTACCCCTCTGGATTTGTTTTAATGTCAGTAAACTAGAAATGATTCAGTAGAAGGCTTTTAACTATTTTACATGTCAGGATTAAATGGTCTCTTTGTTAACGCTCCATGCCCTTGGGAACCCAAAGTTCTAGGTAAGGATGTTTATGAGTCTTGAGGCCTGCAGAAGCATAGTATCTTCAGAACTCCCAGTTTTTCTGTCAAGCTTTCCTTAACTGGATTGGTTGGTCTTTAGGACTAAAAATGCTTTTTGTCTTAACAGGGAGAAACAGAAGCCAGGATTGAAGAATTAAAATTTGATCGTTACTCCGTATTTAGGCCTGGGTAGGTATTTGTGCTGTCTGAGCGTGCAGCACTGTGGGCTCGACTCTAGAAGCCAGTTTCTGATGAGGGGTCTGCTGCCTAAGAGGTCCAGGGTAGGAAAGAAGACAGCTGGGAGCCTCTGGCCTCTCTTCCTGGCTGGTGGCTTGCAGCTTTCTCATTGGTGTCCCTTTATGGCTTTCTCCTGTCCGTACGGGCAAGCATCTCTTCCTATGAGAACACCAGACCAACTGGAGTAGTCTTGTCTCATCCTAAAGACCTAGTTGAACCCTGCTTCTCTCCCCTCATGCTATCTCCAAATAGTCACATTGTGTGTTAGGATTTTGGCTTACAAATCCCATCTGGAGAGGAGACAGTTCAGTGTAATATCCATCATGGTCTGAATGCAAGTTACTGACTCCTCTGCTTTTCTTTTTCTCCCTAGAGCTCTGTTATGTGACAGGCAAGAATCTCGCCCAGGTGAATGGCTGGTCAGGAAATTCTTTGGCTCCTTACCAAACTCTTGGGCCAGTGGCCTCTCCGTGCCTGTGGTGACTGTGGCGAGAGCAATGCTGAACAACATGGTGAGACCGGGCAGCGAGCAGATGGAAGTGCTGGAAAACAAGGACATACATGCCCTGGGAAAAGCAGACGGCTCGCTCAAGCCATGACCATGTTGGAGAAATGCTTCTGCCGGCAAATCTCCACACTCAGCACTCAATCTGTCATTTTAGGGTCTAAGAGAATGTTTGTGTTTAACTTTGTTGTTTAACTGTTCTTATCGCAGCGATCTAAGAAACAGCTGTGCTCTGAAGCATTGGTTCAGAGCCTGGCCATAACACATAGCTTTTCCAAAAACTCCCTGGGTGACCTACTGCAAATCTTCTGGGTCAGAATTTTGGGGTTGTGGGCGTGGGAATCTGTAGTTCTCATTTGTTTAAAATTCCCTTCATTGGGAGCCAGCTTGGAAATGGTTATTTGTAGAGCTACAATGGTAGTGTAAACATTACATACTATGTGGATGAGTACTGTTCTAAAGTTGCTGGCATCACAGCCTTGAGTTACACAGATGCTCACTAATGGTGCTCACGAATGGGTAAGTGAACACGGTGCCTTTACTGCTTCTTTAGAGTGTATTATAAAAATACACAGCCAGGGTTACATAATTCATGGGGTGAAATCAATAGAGGAATAAAAACAAGTGGACAAATCCTGGATGCAGCATAGATTATTCAAAAATGCCCAAGTGTTAGTGCTGCATTTTGACCACGGGATAATACAATAGCGGCTGACAGTTACCAAGTGCTTGCTATGTTGCAGTCTTTACATTATCTATACGTTAGGCCTATAGTCTTTATAGAGTGATACTGTCATTCTCGTATCTTTTATCCTCTTAAAACTTGAAAAATCCTCCTATTTTAGATGGCAAAACTGAGACTCACTGTGGCTAAGTAAGTCTACCAAGAGTCCAGAACTGAGGGTAAGAAGCTGCAGTCAGGATTCTAACTCAGCTCAGCCTGCTCACATCCAGTAGTTTGTATTTTTATCCACTGTGCAAGAGCACCCTGTATCTTTTTTTTCTAGGTAACTGTTAGTATATGCTGTGAGTAAATAAAATGCAAATATTTGGCTTTTTCGATTGGTCTAGAATCCTACACAACATTCAGAGTCAGTAAGATTCTAAGGGCTCTGGGTGCTGCACTTTTAAAACTAGCAAGGGTAGCCAGGTGTGGTGGCTCACTCCTGTAAGCACTTGGGAGGCTGAGGCAGAACTGTTTGCAACTTCTAGACCAGCCTGGGCTATAAAGTGAGCTCAAGGCCAGCCTGAATTGCACAGCAAGAACCTATATCAAAAAGGTATTAAAAAACTAGCAAGGGAAAGGAAGAGGCACAAGGCAGGTTGCCTCACTTTACCATTTTTAAGACGAAAACCTTCCCTGAATTCCAGTGGCCCTTGCACGGTGGCGGCGCCATTGTCCCCTCCCCTGCGGCCCCAGCAGAGCGCAGATCCCCGCCTGGCCCTTGCAGCTTCTTAACCGCCCTCCCGAGCTCTCCGCCCAGGACCTCGGGAGAAGCAGGAGTCCCGATACCGACAGCACTACTGCTGCGGCGTCACTACGCTGCTGGGCTCGGGAATGCGGGCGGTACTTCCGGTCAAAGCGCGCTGCTGTCCCAGCAGTCACTCGCAAACCCGCAGTGCCTCCACAGCAGCGCTCCTCCGACCCCGGAGCACTGCGTCAACACCAGCCATCCTGCCCACGTGACCAGCGTCGCGGCTTCAAAACAAGCCATTGCCCCACCTACCTCCCTCACGTGACCAGCGCGGACCTTATAAAGCCCGGCTCTCGCCCCGCCCACTCACCGCACGTGACCTCCACGGCGGTCTCCAGGCCGGAAGTGTTCAGCCCGGCGCGCGCCCTCGCGTCGCCGGAGCCTGCAGGGATCCCGGCGCCCTGCCGCGTGCCCGCGCTCGTTCTCCCGGGCCGGAGCTAGGAGGCGGTCGCGCGCGCGCGCTCTTCCAGCCGGTCCCGCCCCCGCCGCGCCTCTCCCGGGCTCTGCCGCCATGTGCTCGTTAGCGCCGGGCGCTGTCGGTGGGTATCTGGGTCTGGGCTCCCGCTAGCCCTGCCGCAGGCCGCGCCACGCGGGCCGGCAGGAGGACCTGGGGCTGGGGCCTGGGGGGGCGGGGTACGGGGCAGGGTGGGACGGCGGGGCCTTTTGGGGGCGCGGGGTCGGCGGCGCTGACTGTCTTGCGTGTGCCAGGTGGCCGGGCCGCCGAAGAGGAGGACGACGAGTTGCCAGAGCTGTCGGACAGTGGGGACGAGGCCGCCTGGGTGGACGAGGAGGAGACCGAGCTGCCCCACGACCATGAGCGGCGGCAGACCCCCTGTCTGTTCTGCGACAGGTTCGTCGCCTGGGCGGCAGTGTGGCCCGCCAGAGCCGCCGGGGCTTGACCCGCGCGGAGCAGAGGGAGGAGCGAGCGCTGGAGCCGGGGTTGGATGGCGCCTGGGACGGGCGCAGTCCTCTGTGTGAGATCGCGCTGGATTGGAGCTGCAGCTTCCGACTCACACGCGCATCCTGATCGAATGTGAAATTTTAAAAACACGCAAAAAGTAGACAGTGAGGTGTGCACCTCAGTCCTCCTAAATCAGGATAGGGTCCGGGAGTCGTTTTTGTTTGTTTTTGAGACAAGGTCTCTCAGTGTACTCCAGACTAACCTTAAACTATAGCCTGGACTGGCCACGAACTCTTGGCAGTCCTCCTGTCTCAGCCTCCTGAGTGCCTGTGCCACCATGTCCAGCCTGGAATCATAGTGCTAGGTTTCAATAATAACTATCCAGAGTGATTCTAATGGTATTTGAGTAACAGGTTTGAGAATTATCCTAATCAAGATAATCTCTAAGGACCTCTCCATTTCTCACCATTACTCTTAGAATTGTTAGAGCAATAGAGAGAGCTGCTCTAGTGTGAGATTTCTGTTTGAACCATTTAAATAGGCTAAATTCATCTGTTTTAATTAGGGCGTCTCTGCTACTCAGTAAGAAATTAATCTGTTCTCTTTGAGGAAAAAAGGGCAGTATTTGTGCAAAGTCACAAAGGTGTAGTTATTATTCACAAACACATTCTTTCCACTTAAAATTCTGCCATTTAGTCTTAAGAAGGCAGGACTTTGCTCTGGACAAATGGGCATGCAAGAGCCCCCATCTGCATGGCCACTGTTGTTTTAATGACTGTTGTTCACTGTGGCCATTATTGATTGGCTGTGGCAGTGATGGGTGGTATGTCAGTGTTCTCCTGCTTGACCTCATTGGATCTGTGTAGAGTCCTTACCCTAAAGTAATATCTCTGGAGCCTTCTGATAGGCTCCATAGATACTGCAAATAACCTATCTTGGTAAACATTTGAAAAACTGCATATGCGTTTGGCATATTGAAGACATATGCAGCATCTTTGCTGAGTATGCTTTTCTTAGGTGTCCTTCAGTTTTGAAGGGCGCATAATAAAGAGGCTTTGGCCTCCCAGTGTGTATAATGCAAGAACTATGGGCATGCTGCAAGATCACCTTGAAATAAGGCACTTTGAGAACGTGCCAGCTGCAAAATTGCATTCTAGCCTTTATTTCTAAAAACAATTTGAGCTGTGCCACTTCAGAGCCTCTGAGAGTTTGACACTAGGGAAGAAAAGAATCTCAAGGAGGAGTTTTCAGATACATAAAATCTATCGAAGGGAGCTTTGGTTCTTAAAAGCCTTTTGATAAATTCAGTGCTATTTAAACGGTAGTTAAGTGTTAACTATAATTAGAAATAGTAATTTTTTTTTTTTTAATTTTTTTTTTGTCTTTTTTTTTGTTTTTATCGGTACCAGGGATCGAACTCACAACTGCCTGCTTGCAAGGCAGGCGCTTATGCCGCTGAGCTAAATCCCCAGCCCCAGAAATAGTAATTTTCACTAGAAGTGCTGGGTTTCAGTCTTTCATCTTCAGGTACATTTGATTAATTGGAAATAAAACTAGAAATAAGCTGAGTGAAAAAGTGATTAAAACACAGTTTCATGAAGCTGTCCTTTGATTTTTTTCAGGTTATTTACATCTGCTGAAGAGACATTCTCACACTGTAAATCAGAGCATCAATTTTATATTGATAGCATGGTCCATAAACATGGTGAGTATTCCCTAGGATGAAGATGGTTTTATTTGGGAAGTTGAAGTTCAAAATTCCAGAACCTTTTTTGATACAAGTGCTATATAGTGAAACATACAACAGCAACTCCCTCTTCTGGAAATGTTTTTGACAAGAGCCCTTTGAGGAAAGATTATTAAGTCACTCTTCTAGGCACAGTTCACTGTATTAAGTTTACAGTGATCTCATAATTGTAAAGTAGAGGAAAAAACTAGCATGTGAGTGCATTTCATTCTATTAGAACTCGGGAGTTCAGGGATAGACGTGACCTTCAGAAGAGGTGGTGGGTCCTTATAAAAACAGGCAATCAGATGAGCGTGCAACCTGCCCTTTGAGGTCTACAAGACTGAGTTTAATAAGCTGAATGTGGAAGCACAGCTGTAATCCCAGCACTTAGGGGGCTGAGGCAGAACCATTGCCAAGAGTTTGAGGTCAGCCTGGGCTAGATAGTGTGTTGAGGGCCAGCCTGGAATACACAGTGGAACACTGCCTCAAAAATGAAACAAAAACCCCTGACTTTTATAAATCTAGGTGGAAAGTATAGAAAATGGAACGAGGAAGTTAAGGTAGTATGGGAAATACTGAGATGATGTTTCTGTTGGCTCACATTTGAGCATCTAGAAAGCTTTCTACTTCTTCACGTGGATATAGAAGTCATACTTTTCCACTAAAATTACCTGAACGTAGAATTGGCCTTTTAGTCTCTGTATTGACACATAGAACAGACATTGTTGAGGAATGGCGCATACTAGACACATGTTTATGTCTCAGATGAATATGTGATATGTTTATAAATCATAAATTCAAGTTCAACTACTTTTGGAAATGATGTGAACAACAGCATCATTTTTTTCTCCCATTTTTAATGTATTTTAAACTGAGTTGAAATCATGCTTTATAATTTTTCACTTATCAGTGGAGTTTTTGTATGCTATTAAAATACCCATTTTTCAATAATAATCAATTTCTCATGAGTAATGTCCAATTTGTCTCATGACATTAACCATTATATTACTGCTTGATGATACATATTTCATTGTTTTTAATTTGCATTATTTAATTTCATGGAAAAGCTAGTAGATTTTCTATGTTATGTCTTGACAAAATTATTGTTTTGTAAGCACAATAAAAACTAGAGACTTAGAAACTTAATCTTAAGTATTAAATATTGCCAAATACTTGATAAAATTGAGAACCTAAGTTTTCAGATTTGTATAGTTCTGACAAATGATGAGTGAATTCCAAAAATTAGTTTTTCATTTTTCTTTAGAAATAGAAAAAAACTTAAACATTTGTTATTTATGATTGTTTCTCAGATAAAATACTCAGAAGTACCAAAATTACAATTTTTAATTCTTTTTTTTTTGTCTTTTTCCTTTTTATCAGTACCAGGGGATCAAACTCACGACTTCCTGCTTGCAAGGCAGGCGCTTATGCCGCTGAGCTAAATCCCCAGTCCCACAATTTTTAATTCTTAAAAAATAAAAAATTAAAAGTATAGGTTGTAGTTTAGAGTTTACAAATATTTTACTGTCCAATTGGAGGAGCTTGCCTCTGTAGAACAAGTCACTTAAACAGAACTCACATTATATTAAAATAGATGAATTATCTTTTTTTCTCCCTTTAGGACTTGAATTTTATGGATATATTAAACTAATAAATTTTATTAGACTTAAGGTAAGTCAGAAGCTTAATTTAATTTTGTTTAGAAATACAAGAAATGCCACAGTGCCTCTCATTGCACTGATAATTTACAGGAATATGAGAAACTTTAAAATTTGACATTCATTGTACTGTAGGAATTATAGGCATTAGGCATTAGTATAACATAAAAGACTTGTGTAAATAACTACGTAAATGTATACATACCATTAAAAGGATCCTTCAGACCAAGAGATAAAATCACTGCTATGTATAAAAGTAATTCACTACCAGATAAAGGGAAATGCTGGTAGTGTTTCTGTAAAATTAGAAGTAATTTCTAGTATGATTGTGAATACTTTTTTTCTCTTTTTCTGTTTTTTTGAATACTGTTCTTTGTTTGGTACTATTCAAATAAGTTGCTATTGTCACTTTCTCTGAATCTAAACAGTAGAAAACCATTTAGAATGATAGGTCAATATAGTTCCTTTAAACAGAGATACAATGATTTTGTGTAATGTAGACATGATTTCTTTTATAATTTCTCTAGTTTTCACCAGGTAGATTTGTGATTACATGCCATGAATAAACAACGCAATTAATTTTAAATCCAGAATCCTACAGTTGAGTACATGAATTCTATATATAACCCAGTGCCTTGGGAGAAAGAAGAGTATTTAAAGCCGGTGTTAGAAGATGACCTGTTACTTCAGTTTGGTAAGATGAGCATAATGTGTCTGATTTGTACCATATCTAAGAGCAAAATGAAAGTACAGTATTACAGGAAAATACATTAGTAGACTCATTCTTTGTGGTTTTACTTTCTGTGTTTTTAGTTAGCTACAGTCCATTGCAGTCTGAAATACTAAATGGAAAATTCTGGAAGCAAACAGTTCATGAATTTTAAATGGTGGACCCTGTCTAAGTGGTGTGATGCAGTATTGTGGCATCCAGCTGTCTTATCTGGGATGCGTGTCTCATCCAGCGTGTCCACATTGTATGTGCTATCCACTCCTAAGTTAATTAGTACCATAGCATTTTAGTTAATTAGTAGCATTGTAGGATTGACTGTCATAGTACTGCAGTACTTGTGTTCAAGTAATCCTTTTTGAGTGAGGCCACACTCACAAAACTTAAATTAGCTTGTTTCATTATTATTGTTAATCTCTTACTGTGGCAGATTTATGAATTTTTTGATAGCACTATATATTTCAGAAAAGCCTAGCATATATAGAATTCAGTCCTGTCAGTACCAGACATTCAGTGGCGGAGAGTAAAACCTACTCTCTGTGATTAAGGAGGGACTAGCTTGGTAGCTCTCTGAAGACCTCAGTAGATGGTTGATTTTAACAGAAAAGTTGATTCACTTAAAAGCTGAGCTCCAGTAACCATTATCAGGGAAGAATTTAGACTTTGAGCTTGTTTGAACATTTTCTATTGAGTATTTTGGAAACATAGGCAGATGAGAGAATAATTTTTAATTATTGAATAGTGGACTTAAACTTTAAAGTTTTACTGCTTCTGTCAAATTTTCATATCGCACAATTGTCTTAAAATATGTCTGCTTTTCTGAGATTTCATTTTGACATAGGACAGATATATCTCAAATTTTTATGAGCTTACTCTCATTCACTGACCCAAGCTTCCCTTATGACAAGGTCTCACTCATTTCTTGACCGTGGCTTTCTTTAGTTATTTGCTATGTGCTTTAGTTTTTTCTTTACTGCACAGAAGTCTTGTGAAAATTCTTTACACTTGGTCTCATACACTGGTCTCATACACTTACACCAATCTGTGGATGCAAAATCACATATTTTTTTTCTTTTTATCGGTATTGGGGATTGAACTCACGACTGCCTGCTTTCAAGGCAGGTGCTTATTACCGCTGAGCTAAATCCTCAGCCCCTGCAAAATCACATATTTTTCCTTTTCTTTTGAGACAGGGTCTCACTGTGTAGTCCATCCAACCTTGAATTTGCAATACTCAGTAGATGAAGATAGTGTATCAAATGCCTAACAAACACAAGAAGTGAAATCATAGTCCATTCACTGGGAGTCCAAGTCTATAATATGTAGGTGTTTTTAAACTTGTCCTGTCCTGTGTTTTGATATGAAGTAGAACATGATAAAGTCCATGAAAAGTATATACTGCAGGAGAAGAGATTACTCAGATAATGACAGACTTGAGGGTAGCGGCATGTTGGTCACTGGATCAGTATGGAATGCTGAACTGTCTAAAAATGTATAAACTTAATTTCTTCTAGCTTTAGTTTTAATTTATAAAAGGGTAATAATGATAACTGTTGAAAGATTGTTGGAAAAATGATACATATTATCGTGATACCTGCCACAGGGTATATGTTTAATAAAGAACAATGGGTTGTGATGAGTAAAGTTACAAAAGTCCTTCAGGAGTTGGCATGTACATTCATGACAGATCTAGAGCCTTGGAGGAAGCATATTTTGAGGTGTAAAGCTTGAGCTGGGCATGGGCTTATATGTGTTACCTGTCTAATAATCTTTGTTGCTGGCCCTTGGAGAGAGGTGGATTACAAAGTTGTCATTTTCCTGGCTCTAGGGATGGTTACTTACCATTTCACCCTTCCCTTGATTTTAATAAAGATGCTTCAAGCATTTGCTGAGTATTTGACTTTGAGGTTATAGAGGTGAAATAGAAATTAAAAAGATTCTTTACTATGGAAATTAGTGAAGGAGGTGATTTAAGAAAAGACAAAATCAGTGTACAGTGTAAGGGAGAAAAAAATAACTGCAGTGGAGAAACCAGCAGACCCTACCTAGCTAAGGGTTTTTTTTTTTTAAATTAGTACTGGGGATTGAACTCATGACCATGTGCTTGCAAGGCAGGCACTTATGCTGCTGAACTAAATCTCCAGCCCCTTTAGCTAAGGTTTTAAGGTCAAGTTCTATTTCTTTTGTTTTCCTGTCTTTCTTGTGCTGGGAGTTGAACCCAGGGCCTGACACATGCTAGGCAAGACTCTGCCACTGAGTTCACCCTCAGACCCAGCAAGCTGTGTACATAAGACACTTCTTACACTTAAGAATCTCATTGTGAAGAATATACCTTAAGGTTGGTGATGCCCTCCTACTTCTAAAAATACATGCACATGAAGTTATTTATTACAGCATTGTGATTTCCAAATATCAGGCAGGACTTAAATGCCCATAATAGGAGAGCAGTTGAATACACGGTGATGAGGAAGACAATTTAATTCCAGTTCAATCCAGTTCTACACTGGCCGTGGTACATTCGCACCATGGAGAAGTACACATCTCTTAAAAAGAACAAATACTTCAGTGAACTGATACAAAGTGATTTCAAGAGCATAATGTTAAAAGAGGCAAAGGCCAAAAGACTATAATACGTTTGTCTTTGTGTTTACTGAATCCTTTCTCCTTTTTCAAATTCGTAAGTTTAACGTTTAATAAATGATGACCTCCATATCATTAACATTATCATTAAGACTAAATAACGCAGCTAAAAACAATGCAGAAAACTTGTCAGTTTGAAGAAATTTGAAAACAAAATACAAAGCAAGGATTGTAGGAGAAAGTGGAAAACATGGTATACCAGCCTTAAGTAGTTTGGAAATATTTTGTTGTGCTCATTCATTTTTGGTGAATTAAACAGTAAATGGATCTCTAGGTTTATATTTTTTGTTTTGATTTGTGGCGTGGAGGGTCGGATTGAGGGTTCAACCTGGGGTCTTTGCACTGAGCTACAATCCTATATTGTTTTCTGAGACAGGGTCTTGCTAAAAGTTGCTTAGGCTGGACTTGAGCTTTTGATCTTCAGGCCTCAGCTGGGATCTCAAGCATATACCACTGTCCCCAGCAAATCTCTAATTTTTAAGCACAGTGACATAGTCATCTGCCAGTGGAGATTAGTGACACATTATACTCTTACTAGAAAAGGAGTTCAATTTAGGCTTTAATCTCTTGGTTATTAGTAATGTTGTATTTCTTAAGCTTAGCTATTTTGTTCCAACTCTGAAGTGTCTTAAAAATGTGTTGCAGCTAAAAACTGAATATGAAAATACTTTTTCTCAGTGACATTCTGGAGAGAAAATATAATTTGTATTTTGTATTGATTTAAGTTTGATCTGAAAGTTAATTAAATCTCTAAATGGACCTGGGTATTTTATAAAACTAGCTCCATATTTGACTTGTTTTTTTTCTTTTTGGTTTGTTTTTCTTTTTGGGGAAGTGGGTACTGGGAATTGAACTCTGGACCTTGTGCTTACAAGGTAGGAACTGTACTGCTAAGCTGTATCCTCAGTACTTGACTTCTTTTTATAGAGTTATCTCTACAATAGGTTAATGATTTATTTATAGTGAAATTTAAATTAAACACTTTTAATACTGAGAGCTTCGGTATTTAATATCAATTGTAAAACATTGTTAGGTAGATTCCAATGTACCTTGCCCAGGGTGAGAAAGTTATTGAATGCACAGAATTCTTTATGTGCACACTGTTGTTAAGGAGTATCTTTAGCATTATTAAGGTATACTTGATACATAGAAGTTGTGTTCACTTACAGTGTACAGTACTGCAGTTTGATTTACATTGTGAAATTATTACATTACAATCAAGCAAAGTAACATGTTTATCACCTCACATCTTTGCAAATTGCACATATGCACTACAGCATTAACTGCAGTCCTGTATACTGCATTAGATGCCCAGAACTTACTTTTACTTTATAAATAAGTATGTACCATTTGACCAGTTTCCCTGCATTGTTTCTAACCCTCAGTCACTGGTAAACACTATTCTATTCTGCTTCTGTGAGATTTTTAGATTCTGCACATAGCTGAGATCATGCATAGTTACCTTAGCCTTTCTGATTTATTTCACATAGCATAATGTTCTTCAGGTTCATCCGTGTTGTTGCCAGTGGCAGGATTTCCTTTGAGGAATATCTGATACACCACCTGTTGTGCTATAGCTAAGGGCTCAGCTGCTAGGTGGGTCTTAGGTTAGTTTTGAGGTTGACATGAGATGCGATGCATGTGCACTTGTAGGTTAATAAGAGTTTTTTTCTTTTTTGTATTTGGTTCAATATGGTTAATGTATACATATGTTGTAGGTTTGCTAACTAATAAAGAGCTTAAAAATAGCATATTCTTTGAATTCTAAATGAGATAATTCAGATATTAAATATTTAATTAGAAGTACTTTCACCAGTGTTTTTCAGTTGGCCACACAAACATTTAGCATGTGTTCCTAACGTGCTCATTTCATTTGCAAAAAAAGATGAGCTGACGATGATGTCCATTTATGTTTTTAGATGTAGAAGATCTTTATGAACCAGTGTCAGTCCCATTCTCATACCCCAATGGGCTCAGTGAAAGTACTTCTGTTGTGGAAAAGCTGAAACATATGGAAGCTCGGGCACTGTCTGCTGAAGCTGCATTGGCCAGAGCACGTGAGGACCTACAGAGAATGAAGTAACGTGTCAGCCTCATAGAAAATCATTCTGATTTCAGATAAGACAGCTGATGGCAGGGCGGAATATAGAGTAGTTCATATTCTAGAAATCTCAACATAGTTGCATAGTAGTATTATTAGAGATTTACAGTATAGGTATATTTGGTTAATATAAAATTTAATGGCTTTACCTGTACATACTTCATAACAATTACTTCTGTACCAAAGGTAATTGTTTTGAGAGATGTTGTCTTCTTGAATATTTTTGTTTTTGATATTGTTGTCTCTTCCTTTTAACTGTTCTGTTTGCTATTGGTTTCTTCATTGTACGTTTTCTATATCAATTTTTTAAAAGTAGGATTAATTTTTTTATGTTTGGGGAAACTACAGTGTTGAAATTTTTGTTTTCTAACAAAGCATAACAATGATGTAATATTAACTGGAAAACCAAATGCAGTGGGGGTATGGGAGGGCAAATTTTTTCCAGGGAGTACAATAGCATTTCACTGGTTTAATGCCTCTTAAGTTTAAGTGATCTGCATACAGGTCACCTGGGGATCTTGTTAATGCAGTCTAGGTTCTGACTCAGGAGAAGGGAATAGGGCCTGGAATACTCTGCATTTCTAACAGGTATGCTTAAAGGTTTTCCTTTTGGATTTGGAAGCTGTTCGTCATTGCTTGAGCATGCATTAGCTGGTGTGCAGTGTTTTGTCCTGCAGAAAGCCAATGCAGTCAGTTTAGAGCCTCTCTTGTTTTTGAGTTTTTATGATTGGGAGCCTGGCAACCAACAGCAATTCTACTTTTACTCCCATGTCCATGTGTAATAGAAGTTGATTTATAGTTGTGCATGGTGATTGTACATTTTATTAAGTATTAGAGTTTAAAACAGCAAGATTTTTAATTTAGAAAAACTGCGAATATTTAACATAAGATAAATGTTGGCTTGTAAGATTACTAAAATTTTTGGATTTTCTCCCTCTTGACTACCAACCTTATAGATTATTAATGTATCATGGTCAGAGAAGTTTTAAATCCATAATGGGTGGTGCTAGTGTATGTAAGTTATCTATTTAGGTCTATTTTCTATTCATGTAACTCTCCCAACAGATAATAAAGTTTTAAAGACTATTAAATAGAGAATTGAAATGTACAACATTGTTTATTGTTTTAAAGAATATTAAGAGAATTAAAATGTATTACATCAACTCAGATGCTAAAAACGATTTTAGAGCAATAGAAATACTGACTTTGAATAAAGGGAACGTACTCCTTTTGTTCAGCTGAGATATAAAGAGCTGCAGTCTGCAGCTGGCATTGCTTTCATGGGTGCCCCAGCGGAGGGCTTGTCACTGGGACTGGATATGCCATTGCTTAATGTCCAGCAGGGGGAGCTTTTGGCTGCTGATGGTAAGACTGCGATTTAAAAGGCTCATCATACTATACTCTGTCTTCTCCCTTTCCTCTTGCTCAACCTCTAGCCTTTCCTTTTTTCATGGTCCAATAAACCTGTCTCAAGGGTATATTTCAAATTGATTACAGACAATTTGCTCAAGACTTTGTGATGAACACAGATGTCAGAACCTGCTCATCATCTACCGCCATTGCAGACCTCCAGGAAGATGAAGATGGCGTTTATTTCAGCTCATACGGGCATTATGGGATACATGAAGAGATGCTAAAGGTTAGATAGCAGCATAAATGCACCAAATCCATACTAAAGGAAAACTAGAATAGAACAGGCTTTTTTCTTACTATGTGAGAACTACTGCTTTTTTATGCTGCCTTTAAATCTCTGGTACTTAGTAACTCATCTTGCAGTGATAGATTACAGAAGCACCAAAGTTGTTAAAAATTTAAGATCTATTTAAGATCATCATTAATTTTTATTAGGAAGTTCCTTTTTGTTAAGATTAACCAGAAAAAACAACTGCTAATGATTTTAGTCTTTTCAATATCGACTTATATTAAATAGAAATAGCTAAATTACATATGCTTTTTAAAGTGAAAGAAATAAGTATTTTAGCTTATTATTGACTTAGTATGGCTAAATAAGTTTTGGCATAAATTTTATAAATCTGACAATGGTAATGGTATGACTTTTACACTTGAAATAATTGGCATATAGAAATATTTTCAAAATGATGATCAGTTAATTATATCTGGTTGATTTTAATTTTCATAATGGTAATGTCCATGTAAAATAGTAATTGATTTCTAGCTATGCTTGGTAACTATACACCTAATCAAATGTTAAGATAAAATAGCAAGATTTATAGTTCAGAAAAACTGAAAATACCTAACATGAGATGAATGTTAAATTGTAAAAATAACCAAAATTTTTAAATGTTTATCTCTGTGAATTTTAAATGTCACCAGTATATTTTCTTAAAGCTAGTCAGCAAAAGTTCTTTCCTAGATCCTTCCTTTAAAGTTTATTTTAGATAATAAAAACTCTTAGACTAGTTTTTGTTGAAATAGACATTTTAAGTAGCCAGGGGTCTTTAAAACATGTATTTTGTTGAGTCAGTTTTGCATGATCACAGAGTGGAAGTTGGTTGATTGAAAGTGATTGTAATTATATGAGGTCTTTCAAAGCAATGTAATATCATTACCAATGACATGTCACAGTTATACTTTCTGTTTGTCACTTGGGAAATAGCTTAGAATTATAAATAAGATAAGGTAAGTTTTTAGTGGGAGCCAGAGTCCCACTTTATCGTGTAGGCTGGCCATGAACTCACTGATGTAGCCCGGGCTGGCCTCAAACTCAAGGCAGTTCTCCTGTCTAAGCCTCCCAAGTGCTGGGGTTACAGAGACACACTACCAGACCTGACCTAATTTTTATTTTTTAAGTTGACTGAGTTTGTTTAAAATAAATAGGCTTTATTTTCCTTGTTCAAGTTTATTATGTGTGAAATACTTTCTTTTAAAGGATTTAGTTCATGTCTATCATTTCAAATCACCCCTTGATTGAACTGTCATGAAACTTGAATTCTTTTGGTGTGGCATTTATGTTGGGGTCTTCAGACAGGTAAATGTCACTGAGACAAGCTGTAGTATGGGTGTTGTCAGTATAGTCATCAAGGAAATTCATTTGGATACTTACAGATCTCTGTTCTTGGCACTTGGGCTCTATCAGTAACTGAGAATCTTACCCCTATTGTATGTTTGTAGTTCATTGATGTGCATTTAGATTTAAGACGTTCCAGCTCAAAAGTACCAGTGCCAACTTTTTAAGACTCAGTCACTCAAGTATCTATTAATGTTCTTTATACCTTAGTTTCCCTTAGCTGTTACACAGTGTCATTACCTCACAATGATTTTTTGATTATGTGTTCACAGGAAATATGATGAACTTGATTCAAAAAGGACTATTTATCTATTGGGGGGCCACTGGGGATCAAACTCAGGATCTCATGCTTGCCCGGCAGGCACTTGTGCCATTGAGCTATATCCCTGGCCCTTATTTATCCATTTTGTATTTTGCTAAGTTAGGCACTGGTGATAACTATGAAGTGTGTCTTGTATCAGCCTATATTTCTTGTTTCTTGCCAGGACATTTCTTAGTACAAATAAACATTTTAATGTTTTTCTACTACCACAATCTTACCTAGTTTTCTAAGTATTGTGATATTGGGTGGGCTTATTTATGGGCTTGTTTATAGATTTAGAATTGGTCTTGCTTTTATAGAATGCAGTTTGGATTTTTTGTTATTTAGTCTCAGATACTTTAATAGGCTTTAGCATATCTTTTTGTTGTTGTTGTCTTTTTCCTTTTTATTGGTACCGGGGATCGAACTCATGACTGCCTGTTTGCAAGGCAGGCGCTTAGCTGCTGAGCTAAATCCCCAGCCCCGCATATCTTTTGTTTATAATTTTATTTGTTTATATGTATGTTTATTTTGAAAAGAATAAAACCAAACAAAACAGTAAAGCCAATCAAAACAAAACAGCCAAAAATGATACAGGACTTCAAAACAAGATAATAGGAAGTCAACAAGGGCTACCATAATACCTCTTGTTATCTTCAAAATAGCTCTCAATACTATCAGACATAATAAAATCAAACAGAACAGAATAAAACCAATCAAAACAAAACAGTGAAGGTCATACAGGATTTAAAAACAAGATAATAGTAAATCCAAAATGGTTACCATAATATATCTTGTTATCTTTGAAATAACTGCCCAGGCCATCAGATATAATAAAACCAAACAAAACAAAAAACAGAACAATGAAAATGATATAGGACTTTTAAACATGATAATAGGGAATTAACAGTGGTTATCACTTTCAGAAGGAAACCCCCATAGATACAATACTGCATATTGTTACCTTCTAAGTAGATGCTCAAACTACCAGCTTTAGGCCTGAAAAATCAGCCAGATACTCAACACTACAAGCATTGTTATCCTTTTTTTTTTTTTTTAACTTCAGTAACTATCATCCCAGCCTTTGTTTCTCTGTATCAGCCACTTGAGGGTTGGGGGTGCTCGCCTCCTTGTGTCTCTCAGCCTGTGTGCCAGCTGGCTCACAGGAAGCGTTGGCTTTTTTTTCTTCTCTCTGCTTCTTGTGACTGCTGCTCAAACAAAGGAATTGGCTTCTTGTTTCTTCTTCCTGCAGCCCGTGACTGCTTCTGGCTCACGCAAAGGAGTTGGCTTGTTTCTCCTTCCTGCAGCCTATGACTGCCGTAGCTCCTAGAAAGGGTTGGCTTTTTGTTTTTCCTCCCTGCGGCCCGCAGCTGCTGCTGGTTCACAGAAAGGAGTTGGCTTCTTGTTTCTCTTCCCTGTAGCTTGTGGCTGCTGCTGACTCACAGGAAGGGTTTGGCTTCTTGTTTTGTTGTTTATAATTTTAAATAAAAGTACTTTGTCATTTTATTTCTGGAGTTGGGATAAGAACTCTTTGAATTCTAGAGATGATGGGGGATAGATCACATGAACTTTCAAAATTCTTTGCCACCTTATTTTTTAAAGAAGAGTTGATGACTAATATTACAAAGTTGAAATGCATCACTGTTGTTGTTTCTAAGGAAAATGTTTATTGTAGTGTGCATATTACTACAAATTACATTATTTCTTATTTTTGAAGTGTTACTGGTTTTTATTTTACTACAGTCTCATTTTATCTGCACCCATGCTGTCTACCTTCATGAACCTATAAATTAAAAATACACTGTTGTTTTTATGTGTAAGCTTATACTATATAAATTTTCTGTTGTCTTTAGCTTCATTCTGAACTTTATGGTATTAGTAGTATAATGCAGTCTTTGGGATTTTAGTTTTTGGTTTTTTAGAGGCATGACTTCAGCATGTAGTCCAGGCTAGTCTCAAATCTGTTATGCAGACTAGACTGACTTTGAACTTGTGATCCTCCTGCCTCAGCCTCCTGAGTGCTGGTATTACAGACATATACTTAAAATAATTATCTTTCTCTTAAGTGTTGGAGCTCTAGTTTGATTCTTTGGTATTTCTTGGTTTTATTAGGTTGGTACCAAAGAGTACGTTGCTGTTTTGTAGTAGAGTTGATCTTTTGTTAGAATAAGTTTTTGGAAATGACTGTGAAAACTGGTTTTTTATTTCTTGCATTTTCACATTCAGTGAGTTATTTTTTTAAGTTCTGCTTGATATGAGTTCTGTTGAGTGTAATGGATTTCATTAGCCCAGGGTGAGCATTTGGGTAAGAATAGATGACAGTGGCAGGAGCCCGAGTGAAGGCTTGCGGTTCAGGCAGCAGCCGTGCGTGGGGTGGGACAGCAGCTGGAAGGCTGTGGATGAAATTGGAGCAGTGCACGGTGAGCGCTTCCCAGCACCTGCCCTTGTGACTGGCGTTCGCCCTGTGTGGGTCTTGTTTCAGCAGAGATCACTGGTGACAGAGTAGGAAGGACAAGAGCAGTGCAAGTACGTAAAGTGACGTGCTTTGAAAAAGCATGGTTTACCTTAGTTATATAATACATTAATGTAAACCTTAGATTCTCCAAGTAATTTTTTTTTTTTGTCTTTTTGAGACAGGGTCTCTGTGCAGTTCAGGCTGGCCTTGAGCTCACTTTGTAGCTTAGGCTGGTCTTAAACTCCAAATGATTCTCCTGCCTCAGCCTCCTGAGTGCTGGGATTAAAGGCGTGAGCTACCATGCCTGGAACTCTCCCAGTAATTCTTAAAGTAATTTTTTAAAAGTTAAAAAGGATGATTTAGTAAGCCCAATTTAAAAGATTTGTTGGGTAAAACAATTAGAAATACTACTAGGAAAGTCTTTAGTTAATTATGGTTGTTTCCCCTTTTTTAGGTCTAATACATAAAATGACTTGTTTTAATGGAAGATCTCTTTTATGTGTTTTGACAAATAATCTTATTATTGGCATACAAATGTTTATGAGGTGGCATAATATTTTAACGTAGCATTTATAGTAACTACACTTGACAGTGGAGCGTGCAGGTAAGTCCCACACAGACGGTGGTGTCGTATTTGCTTCCTACACGCATCTTGTTGTTGTGAACTTTAAATCATCTGGAGATTACTTACAATGCATGATTCAGTGTAAATACCACGTAAATAGTTGTTATATTGTACTCTTTAGGGAATGATGACACAGAAAGTATGTGTATTGAACACAGATGCAGTTTAAAATAACTCAGTATCAGAATGAATTTATGAAAATGAAATGAAACCCCACAGTTACAGTGGCTCAACTGTATTTTGTCTTTGTTGATTTTTGCAAAGTCCTAAATTAGAAATCTTTTTTGCAGTGCTTCTTTTTCATACTCAGTTAACTGGCTGATTTGCAGTCTGTGTGTCACAACCTAGGGAATCTGCTTTGTTCATTGGACCAGCGTAGGTTTTAGAATGTTGCCCACTTGCTTTGGTCACAGATCATGTGAGATCTGAGAGCGGAGGAGCCTCAGGTCTGACTACAGGGCTCAGATGATTCACTTTTAGGCTGATAGGCTTTTATGCATCATTTCCCACTACAGAAATTTCTAGATACAGTAGGATTGTAAATCTGGCAGGTGCTGATAAGAACTATTTTAGAAAAACATCTTCAGTGTGGCTTCATTTTTCATGTGTACCTGCACCTGGTACATTGATCTATTTTATTTCTTTCCCCTTACTCCCATGTTGCTCTTGTGTGGGGCAACTTGCTCTTATGCTCCAGGCCGTATGTGAAGGAGCAACGTCTGTTCTTTCAACTTTAATTATCACTTGAAGTCATAAGGACAGTGCATGTAAAGAGAAAAAAATGGACATTTTTTGAAGGACAAGGGTAGGTTTTATTCAACGTTCAGTGTTTTGTTTGTTTTTAAATGTTTTCCAGGCAAAAAGTAACTTTTAGAATGTAGAAGCAAGCAAGATGTGATAAAATAGCAAATATCTGTCTAAAAATTTTAAATTGATTTAGATTATCCTGCAACCATGATATTTTCTTCTCTTTATCCTAGGACAAAGTACGAACAGAAAGCTACAGAGATTTCATATACCAAAATCCACATATCTTCAAAGACAAGGTGAGCACCCAGGCTACAGAATTGTACACTCATGGTGTTCCTTCCATCCCTGCTGCAGTACAGTTGACTTAATAGACCCCAGCTTTATTTCATGGAAGACTTTTATGATGCTGCTCTGTGGTGCAGAGTACTGATAACAGAAATGCTGATTGGCGTTGTCATTTAGTGTCGTCTCTTTAAATTGGAAATCATTAATTATGGTCAGTTTGAACTTTGCTTATCCAGATCATTTTGCCTAAACCATATTTCAGATTTACCGTAATCCTGTGGATTTCAAATGTATCAGATATACTCCTTATCAAAACACATTTTAATTATTATAGTTGGTATTAAGTAGTTGAAAATTAATCTAGGAAGCTAATGATTGGGTTATTGTAAGGTAGAATGCATTTTATGTGCTTTCTTAGGTCTTATTAATTTATCCCTTTGTGCAATGTGTGGTGTATTTTACAGTTAGTTTTAACACTTTATTTCTAAGATGACTGTGTACTTTGGGTGTATCTGTGTTCAAAATTTGTGTTATTTGTTCCTGTTAGAAATTGTTTTGATTTTTTTTCCTTCCTTCCATCTGTTTCTCTTTCCCTACCTCTCTCTTCACTGGCATAATTATAAAAATTCAGATTTTCTGGTGTTCCTTATTAGAAGTTAATCCACTAGTTTAGACAGCAATTACGCTCTGCCATGCAGATTGAGAACGTGACAGATATTTACCATGCTTTTCCCACCTCCATCTTAAAAGCTTCTCCAAGGTCATTGCACGACTTTACATGCTGCTACACACGTGAGGAAAGCCCTGTGCTTAGAGATCTGCTTTTCCTAATTTTTGTGTTGTTTCGGATATAATCTGGGTTGGCTTCTCATTTTCTGTACCTCTTTCCTAAAAGTAGTCTTTCACTTGCAACTTTAATCAGAGAGAAGTATTCTAAATTGATAGCATGATACTCTTTCTATGTTACTGCAGTGGAGACAAAGCAGTTTTCAGGGTTTTTATAACCTTTAATAAATTGGATAGAAAGTAAGCCCTGGTCTGGGAATCACTAATCTTGTTTGTTAGGAGTCAGTAGCCATAAAACTTTTGGGCAACTGATAGGAGTGAATCTCTTTGGGCCTATTTGTAAAAATTTTTAAAATCCCTTCTTACTCTAAAGTGCTGATTTTTGTTACTGAAAAGCACCTTCATTGTTGCTTTGAGCCAGCTCCTCTTACCAAGAGTATCGTTGGAAATTAAGGAAGTTTTTTTTTTCCTTCAGTGTACTTTGAATAGACTTGTACAAGAGAAGGAAATATTGAAACAGCTATTTCAGATATACTCTGAAACTGTATGATTTAATCAAGAAATTATATGTGAATATTTCTATAAATACGGAGTTCTTTGACCTAGAGCTATGCAAAGTTACCTTGTCTATAGTGTATTATAGTAACATAATAAAAATGTTGTATAAGTTACACATTTTCAAGTTACCATGGAAAACAATGTGTAATTATTTTGTTGTGTTCCGTTTACTTGTTGTTAAGAAATGGAATCTGCCCAAGTCCAAAAGGACTTTTTAGTAACGTGAGAGTATCTTGCATTGATACTTTCCTTAAGTGGCTCACAGTTTACTTTTTTGGTATGTAATGGATTTTGCTTGGCATCTGTGGTTTCTCAAAATATACTACAGCGTAAAAATTGTATATAGCAATTTTTAACATCATAAAAAGCACACTTAGGACATAATTTTCAATAATTAACAGCATTACTCTGTAGGTTTCATATATTCAAATTATTTGGGAGACCTATAGTATGATAGCTATAGATTTAGAAAATACATTGCCTTATGTTTAAATAATATTTGGAAGCATACATTATTTCTGGACATGTCTCACTGTCATTGTATGATGTCACTAGAAGTGTTTATCCCTGTTTAAGGTTTAAACCAGTAGATTAATTGACTTCGTCAGAACACACAACTGAATAAAAGGAAACATGAGGCCTTTTACCTGCTTAGTGTCACCGGCCCTGTGTCACCACGCACTGACTGCCAGTGGATTTACTTCTAGTGAGGACATGATTCGTGTGGGGCCCACTCATTAAATTTTAATTCGTACTGTTTTTTATGTATGTGGGTCACATGGTTTGTTTTTAATTAACAGGATATGGTCATAAAATTATTTGAAAAAAACTCTTGAATAGTAAAATTTGTTTCTAAATTGTGTCGTCATGTTTTTTCTTCACACGTATCATTATGAGGTAAACAGACTTCCCATTACACCAGGTTTAGTATCACACTGTATAGTATGTAGTGGAGATTTATTTTTCAAGAGTGCTTATAATTTTAAGTTTTCTTCTTCCCTTCCCCCTCCACTCCTCCCTCCTTGCCTCCTTTTTTTCCTTTCTTCCTTAATATTGTTTCAATTTATAAACTCCTGTGGAGCCCATATGGTGTCTTAGATGAACTTTTGGTGACATTTAATCTTGTTAACACCCACACATAATTAATTTCCATTTGTAGTCCACTGAAGAATTCTCAGTGAGGTGTCTTTATGCTTTTGATTATTATCTACTGTTATAATTGATTCACTTGTTTTTCTTTTTTGTAGGAAATAGTAAATCAATATTATTTTATAAAATGACAGTTTATTTTGTTATTTCTGCCTGTTCTTTCACTCCATCAAGTTTTATTTATCTGGCCATAGTCATTGAATTCTGAGCTATATGTAATAGTAAAAGTATAATCAGAAGTTGTTAAAATACAAGCTTTGGAAGCAGATTAGCTAGGACCCGAGTGCTTACTCTGTAACTTACCAGCTATATGAGCTTGGGCATGTTCCTTTCGCTATGAAGCTCACTTTCCTCATTCGGAACGTGAGGGTGAAATAATGTGTTATGGGAGCGCGCTGTGATATGTGCCTGTAATATTCCCTAGAACCTTTGTGTGCCTTGGGTCTGTTTATGGATTTTAATACCTAGTAAAGCTGTGTTACTTTTATTGTATTGTTAAAGTGGGTCAAATATTTACCTCTGAGGGGGGGAAGTGATATGATTATTTTTCTGGTTCTTGATTCCTTGATAAATATTTCAAAATTATATTGAATGATTTTATGTTGGGTGATTCCTGCCACTTAAACTTGAGGTTAATTTCTGTAAAAATTTAATTACTGAGACTAAATTAGAGCATATGGATAACAAAGATACTAATTCCCTGTGCCAAAGACATTAATTCCCTCTTAAGTAGTTTATGGAAATTACTTGTTTCATATAAAACTTTTCTTATGTAGCATTGTTGGGCTCAACTATACTGTTATTAATTTAAAATAATACCTAGTAATAATATCTTTAGTTTCCACAAGTATAAATTATATTTGATCATAAACCTTAATTTTTTATTACAATCTTAGCCAGAAGCACTAGTATTTGAATAGGATTTGAAACAGAAGACCTTTGTAATAATGTTTGTTCTTTTACTTACACCAGGTAGTTTTGGATGTTGGGTGTGGAACTGGAATTCTCTCTCTGTTTGCTGCTAAAGCTGGGGCGAAGAAAGTTCTTGGCGTTGATCAATCTGAAATACTTTACCAGGCAATGGATATCATAAGGTAGATGTGTTTTTAAGGCTTGGTTTAAAATCATTTTAAATTTGACAATTACCTAGTAAATTTTCTTGCTTTTACTCGCTGTATAATATGGCTCAAGACATTTGTCTTTTAGTAAAAATCTACTCTATCTTAATAAGATTTTAAATTGGATTGAGCTAGACATGTTTAAACTATGGTACTGAGAATTTTTTCACAGTTCTTTTTCCTTTTTATTGGTACCGGGGATCCAACTCACAGCTGCCTGCTTGCAAGGCAGGTGCTTATACCGCTGAGCTAAATCCCCAGCCCTCTTTTTCACAGTTCTTATTGGTGAGAATTATTCTGACATGATTTTCATGACCATAAATATGCTGATTCTAATATGGAATTAGATATCATACTTCCTGTGACATGTGGGTAATATTGACAGAACTCTTTACTTACTGAATATTTCTATCATTAATATTTTCTTTAACAGATAGCACTTAGACTAGAGACTAAAGGTTACACGTGATTTTTTTCGTGACTCCAGCTCTTGTACTTTTTTTTTTTTTTTTTTTTTGTCTTTTTCGTTTTTATTGGTACCAGGGATCGAACTCACGACTGCCTGCTTGCAAGGCAGGCACTTATGCCGCTGAGCTAAATCCCCAGCCCCTCTTGTACGTCTTTTATGTTTAATTTTGGAGTGGTTACAGGTAAGGCAGAGTGGATTTTGTTACTGCCCTGAAATTTGATATTTCCTCTTTAATCAATCATGGTTGATTCTATAATTAGTTTACGTCCTAATAAGAAGAGCCTTATTTGAAATACGGCTTATGCAACTACATTTCTTTAGCTCTGTGCTTTACCAACAGCACTTTACATCTGAAACTTAGCAATAATTTTCAGAATCATGAATAGGTGGTTTCTTACGATGGTTATTGCATTAAAACTTAGGTTCCAGTCTTAAAACTGGTTAATAGTGATCTGTCTGGATACTGCAAAATTGAGTAATGATTCTATAAAATGTTTTTAGAGTCCTATCCCATAATGTAGAAGGATAATTTGATTAAGAGCACAGAATGAGTCACAGTCCTGTATGAGGGTTGATTCCGAGGCCTCGCTGAACATTTAAACAGTGCTGTCAGCTTTTGGGGTAAATTATGTGTAACCTGTTGGAAACCGTTTCACAATCACATGAATGTAGCTAGAGTAAGACAACTTATAGTTAAGGCCTACGTATGAATCACTTTGGCCTGTTGCCTGGCACGTAGGAAATGTTTGACTGTAACTGTGGTTATTGTTATTATTTTAAAAAGTACCAACTTTTTGCTCCTATATAAATTGTGTTAATTTCTCAGATACTGGTTCATGGCTGTAATTTTATGTTAAAGTATTGATATAGTCTAGAATTGAAGTTGCCATTATATGTGCAGTACTCTGATTTAGTAAGGTATTTTTTCCCTGGTTTTTCTAATATATAGCCAAGTATATCATTGGCATGTTTAGGGATTCTGAGGAAACTCAATTGCTTATGCAGTTATTATTCACATATAAGAACCTCAATGTCAAAAAGATTATTTTCAAAAATTAACAAAAATATTGTTGATAATAAGATTACAGAAAGATTTTGTGTTAGAAGTTCTAATCTTATGAAAGGCCATGTTCATTTATATTTTTAAGCTTGTCATTTTTCTATGCAGTGGAACTGTATTTACTCTTTAAAGAAGAATTGAAAAAGATCGTGCTAACACTTGTTCTCTTACTTTGCCCACTTTATTTCATAGAAGCCTTGATTTGCTCCAGTAAATCTCTAGAAAAATGTTCATACAGTGGTTATATTCCAATCCATTATATATAAAGTTTGTTGCCAGATGTTATTATAGTAACAGATTTTTAAAAAAACATGTAAATTTTTTATGTACATATTCAATTTTCAGTTACTCAGTAAGGAGAATGTGTGTTGGACAGAAATTGTTGGCACAGAAAAAATTCATTATCAGTCCCTTTTTCTCTGTGTTTATCTAAAGACTTTATCATGATCAGTTACTTTTGATATAGTTTTATAGTTTGAGGACAGAAAAATTGGATTGGCGTGCTTATAGTATGTAAATGAGCTCTTTGCAGAAAGTTACTTAAAAAAATTGTATTTTATAATGTTTTTTCAAATTAATTGGTCCAACCAGTCTGTATGTCTTAAAATTTAGTACTTTATGATTTAATATCTGAATGAAAAAGCCTTGAACATATGTTAAAATGTCATTTTAGAGATAGTCACATGTTTCTATTAAGATTAAAGAATAATTTTTCATTCCACTTAATCCTAAGTCATTTTATTAGAGTTGGAAGACCTAGAATATATTTATGACTGGTACAGAACTGAAGGAGTTTGGGATTAATACTTCTTGTTTTTCAACTGAACAGCAGCTACCAGTAAATTTTAAATCAAAGAATGAATATCAGTTTGCATTTATTAGTATCAGTTCTGGTAAAGGAGTGTCTTGCAGGCTAGGATTGTAGTGCAGTTGTAGGACGTGTGCTTACTCCCCACATACAGTCTTCTTTCTGTACCAACAAGCAAAGGTGGAACCGTGTTGTTGAAAATGACTTAGCACTCAATCTTTAGGTCCTGTGACTTTATAATTAATTTAGTACTTTCCTATTGAATCTCATTTGCAGTAAGTTCAGTTATACTGTATTATGATCCTTACTGTAAAATGAAAGAACTGAGGCACAGAGATTACTAAGTGACTATTGGTAGGAGAGCCAGGGTTAGATCCCAGGCAGCTGGGCCCGCAGTTCTTGTAGCCAGCTTGCTCTGCCATCTTTCCATTTTTGACGCCCAAGATAGGCACTGGTTGCATTTAATAGTTGGCTTTACAGAGGACCTATAGTGAGTTTGAAAAGCAGGCCTTTTTGTTTGGGACAAGTCTGCGTTATTTCTTCAGCAATCTTTTGCTTTGATTTTTGGTGGTTTGTTTGTGGTACCGGGCATCAAACTCATGACCAGACGGTTGTACCTGAGTCTCAGCCTTGCTTTGCATTTTTTATATTGTATAAAGATAACTATTTTCTTTTCTTTTCTTTTTTTTTTTTTTTTTTTTTTTTTTTTTGAGATGGGGTCTCATTATGCAGTTCAGGCTGGCCTTGAGCTCACTTTGTAGCCCAGGCTGGTCTCGAACTCGCAACAATCCTCCCACCTCAGCCTCCCGAGTGCTGGGATTACAGGCATCAGCCACCACGCCCGGCAAAGATAGCTATTTTGATAATACATGCCTCTCTTCCTTGTTTTCCATGTGAAATGTTGAAGTGTACATGCTGGGGTGAAATCACTACAGTCTATGAATGGATTTTAAGAGAATACACAGGAAGGCACATATTGTCAAAAGTCCTTCAGTTTATACTGGGTCAGTATGCTGCCAGTTGAGGACGCTGGATGGTGTAATTGTCTTACCAAGCCGGTGCTAAAGTTTACTTTTTTCACATCCTAGTTACTATTTATTATCAAAGATGAGGAATTTTAAAAACTACAGTTTGTTATTTTAAATATGTCAATTTGTAATCTTCAGATTGTTCAAAATGATTATGAAATTGTTGTTAACCTTTTTATTTAAAAATGATCTAGCATTTCTAAGAAATGGGTTTAGAGTAGCAGAAGTTCAAGTTGGTAATTTTAAACTGATATTAAGGATTAAGATTAGGCTGGCTATTCTGATGTACAGCTATGAGTAAAATAGGATAGATTTTTCTAAGACGTTATAAGGGCAAATAAGCACCTAAAAATGATCTATGGTAAAGGATGGAAAAATAGTGTTTTATTCTTCCTATTGTGTTAGGCACTGTGCAGTGAAAAACTATTTCAAAGAACATAAACTTACATGTAGGGGTAGCAAAGCTGTTGAGTTGCCAGATGATTGTATTCACCCCCAGGAAGCAGAGGCAGCTTCTGGTCATAGTTTCTTCATTACTTTGGCTGCCTTTGGTTTGTTCTTGACTCAGCCATGGAATCGCTCATTATTCAGACTAAGGTATTAGTGTAGAAGAATTCTCATAAGAAGGCTGATCCATCACTCCGCCACAACGCAGTACTTTCAATCTCAGCATGCCATGAAAATGATAATCTTTTATCTTGCCTGTGTCTAGAATATTGTGAGCAAAGAATGATAAGAAAACTCTTTTAAGAGTGCTGGGATGTGGCTCAATAATAGAGAACTTGCCAGATATGCAAGAGGCCCTGGGTTTAATCCCCAGCCCCCCAAGGAAAAAAAGAGAGACAGATAGAAAACTTTTATCCTTAATTTTTTATCCCTAATACTTAGCAGAGTGTATAATTCCTTGGTACATATGTAGTGAACGATTGCAAGTAAAACTGAACTATCTTACGGTGATTTTTGAGATAGGGATAATATATAAAATTTGGAACAGGATCACAAAATACACCAGCAGATGTTCTTGAAATAATCATTGCTCGATGCTTTATCAGGAAACTAATTTCCTTCCCCAACAGGTTCCAAAGATCCCTTAATTGCTTCTCCATTCAGTGGTCTCGTTTGGGGGTCCATGACCACTAGTTAGTTCAGTGGATCCTTTGAAGAGCTACCTGCCACAACTCTATAAAAAGCTGTGTTCATGGCTAAGGCTTATTATAGCGAAGTATGCAAAGCGGAATGCTCGGGAAAAAGATATCCATAGACAAAAGAGGTCACGTGGAGGCTTCAGGTTATGCCCTCTACACCCCAACTTCAGGTCTCAGACACATGCAATCTCTTTGCCCAGGGAAATTGGCTTGAGTTTTTAAGAGGTCTTAATACTGAAAGAACTGGTTTGTAGGTGTTTATCTGCCACGTGACCAGCCAGGGTACAAGTCTTAAGTCTGACACCAAGTGTGTATCATGAGATTTATGTTTAATTTAAGCCTGCTATCAGTCTGTTTGATCTTGACTCTTCTAACAAATAAAACAACTGTTGTCTAGTAACTGTGAAATTCCATTCTCAGAGTTTAATCATGAATCATTGTCAGGACTAGGCAGGAACTGAATAGA